GCTTTCAAATGGTAAAACAATAACAATTAAAATCAAACTCGAGAAAAAATGCACTTATGATGTAAGGGGAAAGTAAAAAGTTTCAAGAAATATTTACATTTATGTGCCATTATCGACATGTTTTTTTAAGTAATTTAACATCTATATTTTACTGTCCAATGGACTTTGAAAAAATTAGTTTTGAAGGGTATTACAAAAACTTAACATAAATTCTAAGTCGAAAATATTAATATATATTAACGTAATTCCTCCTTCGGGTTGCTTAACACAGTAAAGACTATTAAAGCATATTTTGACCCGTTTTTTGTAATTTATGTGGGGTTTAAAGTGCCACTGATTATGTGTAAATTGCTTCCCTTTGGTTACTTCAATAATTACCATGTATTTCAAATACATTTTCAAATTTTCCTGAAAATTAGCATGCAATCCTGAGGCTGTGCTGCTTTAAGTTTCATCCCAATTACATATTGGTATAAAAAGTGGTACGTTTACAAGCTTTTTAAAATAAAAAACATTAAAGGTCTATAACTGAACAATGCTGATGGAACTGATCATTCCGTAAAGTTTGGATAAAATTGCACAAGAAGTTTTGAATAATACTGCCTAGATCATTTTTTATGACAGAAACGAACAAAGGGGAAGTGATCCCTATATATATATATCACCAACTAGTAACCTGTAGAAGGCGACACAATTATTCTTACTATTTACTGACATGGATGTCAAGAAACAAACTTTTTGTAGCCGAACAAACTTTCAGATATTAAAATTACCTTTAGTCTCTAAAAATAAATAAAAAAAAAAAAAAATACATGTTTTCAATAATGACCAGTGACTTAAACTCAACAAAATCTATATATAAATAGATTAACCTAAGCTTCTGATTGTACAAAAAAGAAATGTCCAATTTTAGTGGCCTCAAAATTAAATATATGTAAAATAAATAGCATGTTCTTTGCAAAAAAATCTAAGATAAAGTATTTACTTAACTGATATTTAGTTTACACAACATGTTTCTATTCTTAATTGTGCCAATGGCAAATAAACAAATGATAAAAAAACCACTTTTTTTTTTCTAAGATTTTCAGTCATATATCCATAAGACAGCGCAAAACCTTCACCACTTTTATCAAAACACAGTTTTAATTCACTTCTGGTTTTTTTTACACCTTTCCTTCCTTTCAGTTTTAAATTTGATCTTTTTTTCTCCTTTTTCCTCTGCTAATTGAATTGCTTGTATCACATTTTTCATTGATAATATGAGGATTCTGGAACAGTGGCTTATACTTTTGGGAGCTGGTTCACCTTTGGTACATTAGGCTTCATCACTTTTCAGTTTTAAATAATAATTCCTCCACCAAAGTACCTCCTCCTCTCCTAGCTGCCGCTATTTTCCATTTTTCCAATTTCGTTTTCCCGATTTTCTTTGCCTCCTCTTTCCATTTGGGGTTCATGAGAACTGGCTCTAACTAGACAAGTCTTCCCGGGAATTCTCTCATGTAATTAAGGTTTTGTAGCTTCTTGTCTATAGGCCAGTCCTTATAGTGAAAGATTACCTTCCCCTCTTTCTTCTTTATCATAACTGATAGCCCTGATATTCCTTCAATCAAATTCCCTTATTCATTTTCTAAAAGTTGCCTTGTAAGGTAAATATGCCTCCAGATTTTACTCCTTTGTGGTGAAGGTTTGTTGAAATCACTCAATTGCATTAGAGAGCCGGTAATGTTGGGGCATCTACAGTTCATGTGGCAACTTATCTTGAAAACCACTCTGAAAGTCAATGTCGCGTCAATGAGTCCCGACAATTAGAAATGATGCCTTCACACTAAAATTAATAGAAAAGTTAAAACAATAATTTTGTTATCTCTAGTGTTGTAGCAGAGCAACAGATAAGGCGTGTACATGCATATTTATGCAACTAATTTTATAAAATACTTCATTTAGAATGCTTATCGAAACCTATTTAAAAAAAAATAAAATACGCAAATGTCTTACAGACACCAAGGGTATTGTCATTTTCATCACCGCAAAATTAACCTCGCTCGTAGTTTTGGACAAATTATATTGAACATGAAAGGTTGTGTTTAAAGAATTGTTGTGTCAAAGTATGAAAACAATTTCATGCATAAAAAATGTTTAGCCTATTACAGCAGAAATTAACAAATATATAAAACATTTGACCTTGAAGGTCATTGTCATTGAGTCAAAGATCAACCTGGTTTTCTAGAAAATCTGTTCAACAGGTTTTTGTATAAAGACAATTTAAAGACAGGCAAATGTATTGTTATAGTTTTCTGCCTGGGCAACTGCAACAGCAAAGGTAATGGAACAAACAACTAAACCGTAGCAATGGCTAAATTTTTCTCCCCCCCCCCCCAAAAAAACAACATGCTGATCATATATTATATGCATTGTAAAAGAAGTCTTTAAATGTTATTTAAACCTTTTGTATAATATAAAAAGAAGGTAAAGTGATTTTAAAAAAAAAAAGAAAGGAAATAAGTCAGTAATTCTAGTAATTCATTCAATATTCATTTCGGCAAATTAACACATAGGGCAAACGTCAGTTTTTTCAAAATCTTCAGGGGCAAATAACCAGGAGGAACTTGTCTAAGGGCATATACCAGTGGAACTTGTCTAAGGTCATATGTAATTTAAAAAAAAAAATTGAAATGGTAAGCCCTCTACGGTTTTCCAGAATTACACTTTAACGCAATTCGACAAAATATAATCACCTTTTTAAATATCCCTGTCTTCACCAACCATGCTAGAAATGTCAAAAAGAATGCGTTTTTGTTATCCTTTGCAGAATTGTCAGCTTGAATATATAGAGTTGGTGGTAGCAATTCTCCATTTATCTGAAATAATTACAATAAGGTACAACCAAAAACAACAAGAGCTGTCCGTAAGACAGCGCGCTCGACTTTTTAGTGCTTGCCTATAATACAAAACATTGACAGTTAAGGGCCATAATTCAAATAAAATCTTTGACAGAATTAACTTCTCCTGGACATGTTTGGGAATCATGATTGTAAACAAGTATTCCAACTTTCAAATTAATATCTCAAACAGTTCAGTCAAAAAGTGGACTGGTACTAAAAACTTAACCAAGATTCTAAGTCGATAAAAGGCCTTAATTTTTAAAACAAATCCTTGACAGAGTTTACCTTCTCTTGCGTACAGATGGGGGTAATGATGTGAAATAGCATTAAAAAGTTTCAAAGCAATATCTCAAAAGGGTTAAGGCATATGAAGTGGATTTTACCCATATTCAATGTATTTTCTAAGTCAAAAAGGGGCATAATTCTGTCAAAAACCTTGACAGAGTTATGTCCTTCTTGTCTGTTGATGAAGTCGTGATGGTAAACAAGTATGGTCAGTTTAAAGCAATACCTCCAATGGTTTTGAAATAAAGTGAGGTGGTACAAAAACTTAAACCAAGATTCTAAGTCGATAAAAGGCCTTAATTTTTAAAACAAATCCTTGACAGAGTTACTTCTCTTGCGTACAGATGGGGTAATGATGTGAAAGCATTAAAGTTTCAAAAGCAATATCTCAAACGGGTTAAGGCAATAAGTGGATTTTACCCATATTCAAATGTATTTTCTAAGTCATAAAAGGGGCATAATTCTGTCAAAAACCTTTCCAGAGTTTTATGTCCTCTTGTCTGTTTGATGAAGGTCGTGATGGTAAACAAGTATGGTCAGTTTCAAAGCAATACCTCCAATGGTTTTGAAATAAAGTGAGGTGGTACAAAAAACTTAACCAAGCTCAATACACTTTCTAAGTCAAAAAAAGGGCCATAATTCTGTCAAAAACCTTGACAGAGTTATGTACTCTTGTCTGTAGATGGAGGTTATGATGGTGAACAAGTATGGTAAGTTTCAAAGCCATACTTGTAATACTTCTGAAATAAAGTGGGGTGGTACGAAAAAACTTAAACCAAGGTGTGACGCCAACGCTAACGCTAACGCTAACGCTAAACGCCGACGCCGACGCCGGGGCGAGTAGGATAGCTCCCCTTTTCATAGAAAAGTCGAGCTAAAAAGCACTTAATTTTAAAACCAAATACTCCATGAAGTTTTAATTACAATTATCATCTCTAATATCATCTTATCATATATTATTTGCTCATTATCAATCATGTTACAAGACCATTTTAGAAGTAAAAGATATGAGCAATTAAACTAAGCTTGCATGGTTGTAAAAGACAGGTAAGCACTATATCCATGTAATTATCAGGGATAACACCAACATGGATAAAACATAACCCAGGTTTTATTATATAAGATATGCTACTTCAGTTTACTTAAATAGCTAAAAAACTATATGAAGATATTGTAAATTTTTTTGTGTAATAAGATAGTTATTTACACAGTATTGAGAGCATCAACTGGTTTATTTTTGTTTTTCAAGTCTAACAGTCAATAATGTTTCTTTAACTTTAACTATATTACATTAAAAAGAATTTGCAACAATAAATAAATTTGCCAAGAAACTGACTGTTTGATTTTCTTTTTCTGTTAATAAATTTGCCCACAATAAGATTGCTATTCTAATGAATCATATCTCCTTTTGATAACAAAAAGTTGTTTCCTGAGTCACCCAAAGGACTTTAGTATTACAACTTTACAAAATCAACTTGATACAACCAAACAGAAAAGTATATTCATATGAAAGTGATTATTAAATATAACTGTTTACATAATTAGTTATAAAGATCGTTGACAGGTTATATGGCCCTATATAAACGGTTGTTTGTAAATATAGAGCCACAAAGGGAGGGTTATATTGCAAACAGCCGTTTATATACGGTCATATAACCTGTCAACAATCTTTATAACGAATTTTGTTACAGCAAGCATCATTTTTAGAGAAAAAAAGTAAGATTTCTTCATGAATCGACAGCAGCCGTGTATATAAAACTATATAAACGTCACGATTATCCAATGAAAAATGACGTTACAAACGTGCATTATTATAAAATGTCATATAACCTATCAAGAATCTGAATCACAAATCTATAAATTTATAAAAAGCATACTTCCATTATTTGAGAAAAAAAGAAAATAATTTATAAATAGACAATAGCTGTGTATATAAATTATATAAAGATCACAAATATCCAATGGAAAGCGATGTTTCAAATGTGTAGTTTTATAGAATATATTTGATTGTCCTTTAATCATTGAGTTTTGCACATCAGAAAGGATTATCTACTCTTTACAACTGTGCTAGAAAAACCTGCCTTACATCCCAATGTATATTTCATGTCTTAAATGAAGTCATTCCCACATGCCTTTTGTATATGACTTGCGTTCAAAGGATGGCATCATTTTTCCGTTGTGAATGAAGTTGTTTATACATATGCTATTATAACAGAAAAGTGCTAGGCAAAAATATTAGTTTTAGTTATTTCTTTTCGAAATATCATTGATTTGTAAATATGCAAGATATAGAATCAAACGCGGCTGTCATCACAGACAGGAATATCCAACTCTCGGCTAACTGTTTAGTGGACACTCAGTAGCGCCTCGTTAACGCTGTGAACCCTGAAACCAGATATTTCGATTTGTACAGGCAGCTGGTGTAAGATCCTTTTAGTGTGATTTAAATCAATTATCATGCAATATTCCTTTTTCTAGAAATAAAAGCAACTTTAATTACCAGACTAATTTCATGAAGTGTGTAGATCAAGGCATTGATTGTTATATTGCAATCTGGGTGGAACTGATCTGTCCATGTTAAAATAAATGTTTTTCCAAGATGATGTGCCTTCACACCTGTAACATGGTGTTGAACTTTGTGCAAATGTGCCTCAACCTGAAATTAAAATGTCTTAAACTGTATTTTCTTGAATACAATAATACTAATCAGGTAACAAAAATGTTCCTGTCTTTCTTGAATATCTTGTCCATACTAAAGACTCTTATATAGAACTTTGTGTTCACAATATAAACATACTGTAAACAGTTCATGTTCCTAAGGGCTTCAATGCTGAACAAATTGGATTCATGTTACATGACTGCATGTTAGTCAGACTTAATTAACATTCAAACACTATATTTTGCTTACTGGTATTTTTGTAAATTGTAAGTCAATAAAACTTTAATTTGATGATATTGTGTGTAGCTAAATAACATTAATTTATCAAAAACATGACATCAATTGTATTCCATGTAATGATTATATAATCATTTGTATTTCTTCTTATTTTTCACTTTATAAAATCTAACCAAATAACCTTTAGACCTTGCAACATTTGAAATTCCATAATAAATTATTGGATTTTAAACCATCTTTTTATTTCTTGCATCATAAAAATCCTTATCAAATCCATACTACTTCTTGCCTTCATTACAATTTCCAAGTCCAATAAATCCCTTAGTTGTATTATCGAAAACTCTTCTTTCAAAATAGATATTATAAAACATCAATGTCTCCCTGTAAGTTAATTCTTTTTCTTGTTAAGAATTGGTGGCGAAAACTGAATCAAAACAAAAGAAACAGCCTGTCACAGGGGAAACACTTGACTTTTTTTACTTTTTCTAAAATCAGAATAAGTTTTTGTTTGTTTTAGTTTATACGAATGATTTTAAAAGATTATTACTTGGGCTCTTACCTTTGAATTTGAAGAAAATGTTGGCAGTCTTGTTTTTGCTTGATCCATATTGTCAATAATCAGACTCACATATTTGTCAGGGGATTCACATGCCTTCTTTATGTGTTTGTAGTACTTTGAACGACAAATACTGTAACACAATAAAATCAGAATTATTTTTCTTGAAATTTATAATCAGAAGAGAATATATAGTTAGCTAGGCATAAGTTGATATTCAGGGGACAGGCAATCAATATATTGTTATAACCCAGTTGTCTTCAATGCCTGTAGTTATCAACACAGTCAGGTTGCATATTTGAGTCAGAAACACTTGAGAATAATATGTTTATGATGAATGTGATTTTTTTTATTTATAATAGATAAATCTATGTTGAATACCTACTTTCATAATATATGATGAATTAGAAGTGCTGATTTATTCATTACATTATGTATGTAGCAACAGTTTCACAGTGTCAGTCCCTTGATCTTTGAGTGTACAGGGCATTTTACAGTTTTTGACAAATAGAAAGACCATTTTTTATGTGAGATATTCTAGAGGAATACATTTAAAAAAGAATGGGGATGGGAATTCCAAATGGCAATCATTTCTACAATCGAAACAGCTATTAATCATAATAACCTTGGAATCAGTGTATATCTATGAGGGGGGATTGGGGGATTCACTCCTGTTTTTGAGAATTCCCCCCTATTTTTTCAGAGGCAGGGTGAAAATTTTACATAGAGAAAGAAGGAAGAAAATCAGTTAATGTGATAAATTCTCACTTTTTCGATAAAAATCCCCCCTGTTTTTTTAATTTCCTAGAATAGACACTGTGGAGTTAAGTCTGCTTTGGTATATTATGATTGAAAATATGTCTGAGAACCGTTAAGAATTTAAAAAGTAATTATCAAGGTAAAAGTTAGCTGGACTGTAACAATACCTCTCTTTACCTGTAACAATACCTTACTTTTGTTTTTTGTAAAAATGCATACATTTGATTTAAATGCTATGTACAAGGTGAACAAACTAATACTTATACTACATAATTAACATGTCAATTTGGAAAATAAAATTTATAAATACACTGATATTATTAAAAAAAATTAGAAATTTTTTGAAATTAGCACAATTAAAATGTTGGCATTTTAAATACATACGACTGAAGATTCAGATGTAGTCGCCTTTTCTCTTCTATTTCCTTCCTGATATCTTTTGGCAGTTTCATGTTCATAAGGACAGTTTCCATATTAATGCATGGTGTACATCTGGCTTGTGCACCTTTTCCCTAATAAAGAGAAAAAGATTGATTACATTGTGTACATATGAGTGTGTAAAGATAACTGTCAAAAATCATCTGGCCATGACCAAATTAGAACTTGACATTTATTTTCTGGTAAAGTACCAGCACCTGCACATGTCATCCTCTAACATACATTCCTACAAAAGCAGAACTGTAATTTTGTTCAAGAAGGATAACTTTGAAATCATCAGACTAAAAACTAAATTTAAACTTGACCTGATTTTTTTGGTTAAATACCTGCACCTTATACATACATTTCTACAAAAACTGAAAACTTTTTTTTTTCAAATGTTGGAGAGGAATAATTTTGTGTAAAATCATCGAACCAAGACGAAATTCGAACTGCTTACACCTACTTATTTCTATTATGTTTCTATATGTCCAATTGTGTTGAATGTGTATAACTTATTGGGAGATAATGAATGGAAACAGGAAATTGCTTTTGGTGTTCAGAGTTTAAGAGGGATAACTCTGTAAAATCATTGAACCATGACCAAATTCTAACTTGACCTGCATAATTCTTTCCTTTGATGTATATATACATTAAATTTGAATTGCATTGTTCAACTGTTGGGGAGACAATTAATGGAAAACTAAAGTTTTTTTTTTTCAAAGTAACTTTCAAATAATAGCAAAAGTTTAGCACTTTTCATTACTTAGCAATAAACATTATAAGCTACCACTTGACATTTTGTACATTAATGTATCAATAGAAACTGTAAGTCAACATAAAATGTTATGCCAAATCATTTAAATACACAATTACATATGTAAGGCCATAACACATGCATAAGAAATAAATTTGTTGGCTGCAGTTAAACTAAATTAAATGCTTGTATTTAAAATGTACATAATAATTTAATTCATTATACATATTTGCAAATTTACAACCTTACAAATTGAAATATATAGGTGATGTTGAACATAACCATCTAGGTTGAATAACACCAGATTCAATTCCCTGAATTGTAAATTGTAACCACTAATTCTATGTGTGATTAAGATGCTTTAACTAAGTTTTAATATGAAGTGATTAAAGGGACTCCACTGAGGTTTAAAAGCCTAAGAACATAACATTTGAATTTCTTACATAAATGAGCTTGGGCACTTTAAACAGAAATATATGCAAATATAATTAAGAAATATACTTTGAATTAAATTGAGCAACATATTTTTATGCTTTTCTTAGCTTGATTTGAGTGAAAAGTGTTTTAACGCTTTTCACTTTGGGTCATTTTTTTACAATCTGAATAATTATTCTGGAAAAACGAAGTGTGCGAATGATCCAAACATTTGCACAAAGATTAGTGGTCTAAACCTATATCAAATGGTACATTTATACTGAAAAATACTTTCAGTCACATCATGTCAAAAAGAACCTCAGTGGAGTCCCTTTAAGGAAGCATCATAGATTTCAGACTTTGAAACTACTACTGTAAGGCAATATTACTTATTTATCTGAAATATTCTTCAGGGTATATATGATGTTAATTCAAAGTCAATGCTTCAATCAAATCGAAGACATAGTATTTTCTGTGTTCTTACTTACCTTAGAAATTTTTACAGTAGGTAATGCTTTTTGCCACATTTCATGAAATGATGATCTGCCTAGGACTTTCTGTTTGGCTTTAATCATTTCTTCTTTGTATAGGTCATAAACAGCCTGTTTGGTGATGCAAGAAGGGAGCCTGTATTCTTCTTTATCAGGTTGCCTCTCAGAAAACTGCCTGGCATAGATTTCTAGCCATGTTTTTGCTTGAAGATATTCTACTGATGGTTTCTTTAGGCGGGGCAAATCCCCATATGGAACATCTGACTTTTTGGCTAAGAGTTTCTTGATCTCCCATAATCTATAAAAAAGGCATATTTATATTATATATAATGTTATGCAAACTTAGAAAAAAAAAGTTGAAAAGTATCTTCACAAAAACAGGCCAAATTAAAAGTAGATTCAACAGTAACCATGGCACTATATAAAATTGAATTTCCAAAAACTGTAATCAACTGCCATTAAAATTGATATACAGTGTACAGTTTTTATGCTAGGAATTTTGCGTGACTCCTTTTCAACCTTTAAACCTAGTGTCTATTTGCATATATGTATAAAATTGTTTAAAGAAAAATATGCATGTTTTAAAAAGCTAATGTTTATGATTTTACGGGTGTCTTTCAGGGACTCAATCAGGGGGAAGTCCGGGGAAAACTTTGCTGTAAATATTTTCACTTCGTCCTATATGATCGGATAAGGTAAAGCAAAGTTCTAGTCGCCCTAAAATATGAAATGTCTGACATGTATATTTCACCACTCGATAATACTGCCTGGAGGCAGATTTAATAAAATTAAAATTAAGATTAGTAAAATCTGACGTAATTAGCACACGCGCTGAAGCATGGCCATAGTGACACTTTGAATTCACTCTTGGATATCCACATCGCTAAAAATAGCGCATTGATTATATATTAAATTTTCAGGTAAATTAAAGCTGTTAAAGACCCTGATATGAATGCAGCAGATGATAAAAAGCTAGCTAATTGATAATTAAGTTACCTCAAACGTATATTTGTGTCTTATTTAGACTACAATATCCCCTTAGTATATACGTTTTATTAACTGATATGCATCTAATATGTGGCGTTAGTGTATGTGAGATATTATTTCGGTATTGTATGAAAAGAAAACATTATACGAACTGAAAATATAAATAAAAATGCTTTTTATTGTTGCTTTAAAATGCTTTGTAAACTATAGAATCGAGGGTGAAAACATAACAGCGCATATACAAGTAGTCCCTAACCGGTGTTTATTGGCAGTTTAACACCAGTTTTTTTCCTTCTTTGTCTATAGTGACAAAATCACGTGAGTGTTAGAATTTACAATATCCCCTATACGTTTTGTTTGATTTACAATTTCCCCCATACGTTTTGTTTGATTTACAATTTCCCCCATAGGTTTTGTTTAATTTACAATTTCCCCTATACGTTTTGATTGATTTACAATTTCCAATATATGTTTGCCGGTCCATTCCTGTTATCACCATTACATTTATGATAGTAATTAATTACAACTGTATGTTATGGCTATAACTAATAAATTCATCATTAAAAATGATGTAAATTGATAGAATTTGGATAACTATCATGACTGAAAGAACTTTTCTTCTTAATTAATTGCATTAAAAGTTAGAGTCAGAAACTGTTGAACCTAAAAAAACAAGATATGTTTGTAAAACATGTATGCCCCCTATCAGCAGCCAGTTAGTCATTTGATAAGGTTATTATGCATGACTTCTGACCTAGTGATCAAACAATTAATAAGGGTTATAAAGTATCTACTGGTCATGACCTTGACCTTTGACCCCTTGACCCAAAACTCAATAGGGGTCATCTGCTGGTCACGACCAATCATCAAACAAAGTTTGAAGTTCCTAGGCCTAGGCGTTTTTAGTAAATTGATCAGAAACCGTTTTTACCTACAAGGTCAATGTGACCTTGACCTTTGACCCCTTGACCCCAAAATCAATAGGGGTCATCTGCTGGTCATGACCAATCACCATGCCAAGTTTGAAGTTCTTAGGCCTAAGGGTTCTCTTATTATTGATCAGAAACCGTTTTTAATTAAAAGGTCAATGTGACCTTGACCTTTGACCCCTTGACCCCAAAATCAATAGGGGTCATCTACTGATCATGACCAATCACCATACCAAGTTTGATGTTCCTAAGCCTTAAGGTTCTTTAGGTATTGATCGGAAACCGTTTTTACCTACAAGGTCAATGTGACCTTGACCTTCGACCCCTTGACCCCAAAATCAATAGGGGTCATCTACTGATCATGACCAATCACCATACCAAGTTTGAAGTTCCTAGGCCTTAAGGTTCTTTAGTTATTGATCGGAAACCGTTTTTGCTTACAAGGTCAATGTGACCTTGACCTTTGACCCCTTGACCCCAAAATCAATAGGGGTCATCTACTGGTCATGACCAATCACCATACCAAGTTTGAAGTTCCTAGGCCTTAAGGTTCTTTAGTTATTGATCGGAAACCGTTTTTGCTTACAAGGTCAATGTGACCTTGACCTTTGACCCCTTGACCCAATAAATCAATAGGGGTCATCTACTGGTCATGACCAATCACCATACCAAGTTTGAAGTTCCTAGGCCTTAAGGTTCTTTAGTTATTGATCGGAAACCGTTTTTGCTTTCAAGGTCAATGTGACCTTGACCTTTGACCCCTTGACCCCAAAATCAATAGGGGTCATCTACTGGTCATGACCAATCACCATACCAAGTTTGAAGTTCCTAGGCCTTAAGGTTCTTTAGTTATTGATCGGAAACCGTTTTTGCTTTCAAGGTCAATGTGACCTTGACCTTTGACCCCTTGACCCCAAAATCAATAGGGGTCATCTACTGGTCATGACCAATCACCATACCAAGTTTGAAGTTCCTAGGCCTTAAGGTTCTTTAGTTATTGATCGGAAACCGTTTTTGCTTTCAAGGTCAATGTGACCTTGACCTTTGACCCCTTGACCCAAAATCAATAGGGGTCATCTACTGGTCATGACCAATCACCATACCAAGTTTGAAGTTCCTAGGCCTAAGGGTTCTTTAGTTATCACTCGGAAACCATTTGGTCTACGGACCGACGGACCGACGGACCGACGGACCGACAAGTGCAAAGCAATATACCCCCTTTTTTTCAAAATGGGGGCATAAAAATGTGTTGAAGTAATGTTTTGTTGATGTAAATCAAATGCTTCAATAAACTGTATTGAGCAACTAGAACTTCATTAAATATCACCACAGCGATTTTCAAATACACATTTGTTTATTTTCCGTGCCATATACATGTATATCTTATATGCAAGTACATATAATTTATAAAGGTGTACATGTATATTTTGTGAAATAAAATTAGAAAAAAATCCAATGATATAACTCGATTTGATGATCACTTCTCCCTAAATTTCAAAACTTCTCCCTATTTTTCCTGAAGGGAGAAGTCACTTCGGTAAACAAAAACAGTAATGCCATTGAAAAGTGATATACGATAAAAACCAAGTATAACTGCATATGAGTGATATTCGTTCCCAGTTGACATTTCGTACATTTAATGTTCACACCTAAACATTATTTATGCACAATTGTAATGATTTTCATTTTTTTTTCTAAACCTCAAGTAGCAACAAGAGGGCCATGATGGCCCTGAAGTCGCTCACCTGTATATAGCCCACCCCCCCCCTTGGCAGGGCCAATTTTAACCCAAGGGCTTTTATCTGAACAAACTTGGTAGACACCGATAAGAAGATGTTTCATGCTAAACATCTAAGCTCTAGCTCATGGGTTTCTTAAAAGCAGTTTTTTAAGTTTTTACTATACACATATAGTTAATAAATGACACCCCTGGGGCGGGGCCAATTTTGACCCCAGGGCTTTCATTTGAACAAACTTTGTAGACACTTACTAGAAGATGTTTCATGCTTAATATCTAAACTCTAGCTATTTGGGTTTTTTCAAAGATGATTTTTAAGTTTTTGCTATACAGATGTAAGAAAAATTAATGACCCCCGGGGCGGGGCCAATTTTGACCCCAGGGCTTTTATTTGAATAAACTTGGTAGACATTCACTAGAAGATGTTTCATACTAAATATCTTAGCTCTAGCTCTTTGATTTCTTTAAAAGAAGATTTTTTATGTATTTACTTATAATATGCATATTGGGAAAATCAATGACCCCCTGGGGCGGGGCCAATTTTAACCCCTGGGCTTTTATTTGAACAAACTTGGTAGACACTCATTAGATCATGTTTCAAGCTAAAGATCTTAGCTCTAGCTCTTTGGGTTCTTTAAAAGAAGATTTTTTTAGGTTTTTACTATATGCATATAGGGAAAATCAATGACCCCCTGGGGCGGGGTCAATTTTGACCCTGGGGCTTTTATTTGAACAAACTTGGTAGACACTCATTAGAACATGTTTCATGCTAAATATCTTAGCTCTAGCTCTTTGATTTCTTTAAAAGAAGATTTTTTATGTTTTTACTTATAATATGCATATTGGGAAAATCAATGACCCCCTGGGGCGGGGCCAATTTTAACCCCTGGGCTTTTATTTGAACAAACTTGGTAGACACTCATTAGAACATGTTTCAAGCTAAAGATCTTAGCTCTAGCTCTTTGGGTTCTTTAAAAGAAGATTTTTTAGGTTTTTACTATATGCATATAGGGAAAATCAAAGACCCCCTGGGGCGGGGTCAATTTTGACCCTGGGGCTTTTATTTGAACAAACTTGGTAGACACTCACCAGAAGATGTTTCATGCCAAATATCTAAGCTCTAGCTCTTACGGTTTTTTAAAAGAAGATATTTAAAGTTTTTTCTTTCAGTTGCCATGGCAACCAGAGTTCTGCATGGAATTAAATTCTTTCAACAATTTTTAAAGGTGACCACCAAAGGAACATTCCTGTGAAGTTTGGATGAAATTGGCTTAGTGGTTTATGAAGAGATGTCATTTAAAGTAAAAGTTTACGGACGGACGGACGGACAACGGACGGACGGATGCCGGACAAAAAGCGATCACAAAAGCTCACCCTGTCACTTTGTGACAGGTGAGCTAAAAATAATAATTAAAGTTAATAATACATGGTTTAAATTTTCATGTCTCCCAGGATAAAAGAAATTCCCAATGAATATTTTGCATCTGATGTAAAATTTCCAATTTGAGTCAAACTGATAAGACTTTTTTCCCAATCTTTCCGGTGCCGGAACCATTTGCAAAGCACTGGAGAAAAAACGACTGAAGTCTTATTTAATGGAATAATAATGTCCATTAAAAGGTGTCTCTATTGACTCCATCATTACTTTTTGAAATCCTGAAATTAAGACCGGCCACCATACTATTAAGTGTTAAAGACCATTTCTTAAGATTCACAATCGGTCTCACTAGTGGGGATCTTCTGTAACATAATTTTTTCTTTAGTGTTAAAACAGCTGATAAAATGAATAAATTCTTTTAAAATAATAACATATTCTTATATATAACAACTACATGTTTACCTCCTTTTACCAATTCCATACATGGCTTTCCAACCAGTCTCACAAACTTCCCTTCCAAGGACTAATAACTTATGACTGCCAGCTGCTCTAAGAGATGAAAACAGGTATCGTCTCTGCTGTTGCATGGTTTTTGTCCAGTAATTAATCCTACATGATTTAATTTCATCACATGTGAATTGTCTGCAGCATTCATTTTCACAGCAATGTGTAGAAAGTACATATTTCACGGACTCAAAAGAAGTCTGTTTACTGAACCTTGTTCCATTTCCTGCAATGAAAAATGTATATTAATATAATTAATTAAACAATGCAATCTGTAAATCAACTTGGGCTTCTTAAAACACTTGCACATTTCCTCAATCATGAATGTCCTTCATTGATGAATAAATTATATTTCTCTCATTTTAGTGATTGTCATCATTGAGTATTTTTTAATAATTAACTCAAGGCATATATGCCATAATTTATGGACAGCTTATCATACAGGACACTTTTCATTGTAAAGGTCAGGCAGTTTAAAAATATTTTGATGTGCCTCCCTTTGATCCCTAAGCGCGCGTCCTACCACTGGACTACTACTCCTACAGGTCAAAAGGTCAAAGTAGAGCCCCTTTTCACCCCAGGAGACAATTTGAAATCGAAGGACAATGGGCCATCACAAAAGCTGACCTTGAGGAAATTGAGATATCAAGAATCATGAAAATGCATGATTATTATAGCTGATAAAAACATTAAATGTTTTAAAAGAAGTTCTTACATAATTACATGTATGTAAACCTACTAAGTCATAAATGTTTTCGTCACTTTACTAATATTTGTAAAAAAAATTATTATTAAAATTATTTAATACACTGTAGGTATACAGTAATAGTGCAAAACTGCAATCCTAATATATGATACGGTGTGCTCAACATTAATTATTTGCACACAAAATTACTTTACTCAATAATAACAAAATAGTAGCAAATAATGACCAGAATAACCATTAACCAATGGTTTAATTACCATAACTGCCTTACAGGTGCTGTACTGAAAATATCCAGGAAAAAATCTTGCCTCAATTACTAAATAAAATTTAGACATCTCTTGCTGTGTTTTGAACATTTAGGTCTGAAATTGATGAGTTTAATTTGCAAAAAAAGGCAAAAAGATTTATCTTAAGGCATTTTTTGTCTGATACACTAGAACCGGATGTTTACCTCGTATTTCTATCGGATTTGTTTGCATTGTACAGCTTGATCAGAATATGTTTTAAAAATTTGACCAGTTTTTCATTATTCCCTAACTCACAGTATGACTGCATTTTAAAGACTCATTTTTGAAAAATCATTAAGTTCCCATTAATTTGGGTTTTATCTAATTAAAAGACCCTGTTTAAACATATATTTTTGCAATTTCAGACATTTACTTGATTTAACTGTAATTTAAAACAAGAGGGCCATGATGGCCCTGAGGTCGCTCACCTGTATATAGGCCGCCCCAACCCCCAGGGCTTTTATTTGCACAAACTTGGTAGACACCCATAAGAAAATGTTTCATGCTAAACATCTAAGCTCTAGCTCATTGGGCTATTTAAAAGAAGATTTTTTTAAAGTTTTTACTATACACATATAGTTAAAAACAATGACACGCCTGGGGCCGGGCCAGTTATGACCCCAGGGTTTTTTATTTGAACAAACTTTGTAGACACTTACTAGAATATGTTTCATGCTTAATATCTAAACTCTAGCTATTTGGGTTTTTTCAAAGAAGATTTTAAGTTTTTGCTATACACATATAAGGAAAATCAATGACCCCGGGGCAGGGCCAATTTTGACCCCAGGTCTTTTATTTGAACAAACTTTGTAGACACTCACTAAAAGATGTTTCATGCTTAATATCTTAACTCTAGCTATTTTGGGTTTTTTCAAAAAAGATTTTTTAAGTTTTTGCTATACACATATAAGGAAAATCAATGACCCCCAGGGCGGGGCCAATTTTGACCCCAGGGCTTTTATTTTGAACAAACTTGGTAGACACCTATTAGAACATGTTTGATGCTAAATATCTTAACCATAGCTCTTTGAGTTCTTTAAAAGAAGATTTTTAAGTTTTTATTATATGCATATATAGGGAAAAATCAATGACCCCCCCGGGCGGGGTCAATTTTGACCCCAGGGCTTTTATTTGAACAAAACTTGGTAGACACTTATCAGAACATGTTTCATGCTAAATATCTTAGCGCTAACTCTTTTGGTTCTTTAAAAGAAGATTTTTTAAGTTTTTACTATATGCATATAGGGAAAATCAATGACCCCCTGGGGCGGGGCCAATTTTTGACCCCAGGGCTTTTCTTTGAACAAACTTGATAGACACCTATTAGAACATGTTTGATGCTCAATATCTTAGCCATAGCTCTTTGAGTTCTTTAAAAGAAGATTTTTTAAGTTTTTCACTATATGCATATAGGGAAAATCAATGACCCCCCGGGGGGGGCCAATTTTGACCCCAGGGCTTTTATTTGAACAAACTTGGTAGACACTCACTAGAAGATGTTTCATGCCAAATATCTAAGCTCTAGCTCTTATGGATTTTTAAAAGAAGATATTTAAAGTTTTTTCTTTCGGTTGCCATGGCAACCAGAGTTCTGCATGGAATTAAATTCTTTGAACAATTTTTAAAGGTGACCACCAAAGGAACATTCCTGTGAAGTTTGGATGAAATTGGCCTTGTGGTTTATGAGGAGATGTCATTTAAAGTAAAAGTTTACGGACGACGGACAGACGACGGACGCCGGACGAAAAGCGATCACAAAAGCTCACCCTGTCACTTTGTGACAGGTGAGCTAAAAACCTGTGACTCAAATTGGAAGCAATTCAACCTTTGGTTTGAATATCAGCAGTAAGATGGCGTTTTAATTTAATATACAATACATCAATGCAAATCTTTATTTTAATCACTTATATGAGAAAAAAAGTCAGGAAAAAGACAAAATTGTGAGCTTAATTTATGAAGATTGTGTATTTTGGCAGAATTGTGAACGGGTCTGTCGGACCGTCACCCATTCTGAAAATTTGTGAAAGACCGTTTGTGATTGTGAATGGGTCTGTTATTCAGAACCACTTACATAAGGCAAAAAAATCAAATGAATGGCAACATCAGAAAAATTTACTTACCTTGTCTGTGCTTTATTTGCTGATTTGTTGTATCCCTTAAAGGTACACTTGCCATCATTTATTACTCCAAAGTCTGAAAAGTACACATATATATAAGCTTTAATTAAATGCAACATGTCATCTTGAAAATATGCTTTCTTAATTTGTTTGAATTTATGTATATGTAATAAATAATATCTTTTTGTAAAAACAAGCTGATTAATCCTTAAAATTATATTACTGTGGTTAACTAAGATCTTCAAATCAAATAAATTTTTTTTAACAAGTTGCACTTTCTTGCAACACAAGTCTGTGGCTGTGAATTACCGGAATCGACCTGTAACTTTGTTATTAATAAACTTTTAAAGTTTTTTTTTAAGCATTTTTATTAGACCTCTGACCGACCACCGAGTGACTCCTATATACCCTCCCTCCCTAATTTTGTTTCAGGGGTATAATAATAAACATAAGATATACATGGTTTACTGTTCGAATGGGTGGGATCACCCTAGGGACTTAAATGGTCATGCCTTACTGATTTGATACTTCAGAATTACCATCAACTGGCACAGTCGAATACTTAAAATTATAATGACAATTATTTGCCCCTGACCTTGGTGGGAAAATATGGCAGTCGCTGAATTGCAAAGAACATTTGTAAATGCATCCACCAAACACTAGTCTCAGTTGAAAAGTGTTTAAGCTAAACATTTTTGAAGAAATTATAATTTGGTTCCTTAAAATAAATAATTTTTGTCAGATTTTGTTCAGAAAATATAGGGAATTCATCTGTTTGGCATTATTCAGTGACGTAATACATGCAGGTGCTTGTAGAATTTTACAAGTGTTTAAGGTTACACCCCACTATATCTAATGTGCCTGCAATTTAGTTCATTTCCTTTTGACATTAAATGTTCCTATTTGCACGCACGTACTTCATTTTTGCTGTTTACATTCATTTCCTATCAGCAATAAATGTTTGTACTTGCACGCACTGACTTTGCGCACTTGTTGCATTTTCTGCATGAAAGGCATGTTTGTGCATGACAGGAAATGCTGTGGTGTAGAATATATACGAGGACTTTACCGGCTCGTATCAGCGCATGGGGCGACAACAAGGGTCAATCATAGGAAATTAATCGAGATGGAACGTCGATATTAATTTCCATGATTGACCCTTTTGTAATATTTTCTTTATTTAAACATATAAATATTTTAAGAAATATCCACATAAATACACTCATTAGATGCCATTGAAGGAACTAGACATAAATAACCATTTCATGAGGTAAGTTGATGCATTTTTTCTAAATGCGAAATAATAATCATCGTCCAGCTCATTTTCAAAATATAATCTAAGAAATACTGTCGATAAGTATCCCGGTGTATGTTTCAGAGGTATATATTGAACGCGTATTTTTTAAAACTAACGACAATGTAGTGATTTTTACTTAAAGGCACATTATGCCTCAGAAATCCCTTTTTATTAAATTCTTTAGAAATGTAAAACACATGTTTAATAATGTTTTAATAATGGATTTAGAACATGTAAGATATTTAACATAATGTGTCGTAAAGGTAGCAAAATGTAAACAATTATATTTTGACTTCCATACAAAATACTAATTCAATATAATTATACCAATTGCCAGCAAAGCAAACGATGCAAAGATAGTTCATTTATATAGCAAATAAGTATTTTTGTGGAACTTGTAACAAGGCATCAAATATTTAAAATTTTGAGAAATAAAAATGAAAGCATTTCTGACACATAATGTGCCTTTAACACTACTTCCATCTATTAATAATTACGCTAGAATATCATGTGCATATACGTGTTGTGATTTACTGAATGGCTTACTGGTCAGAATCTCCTGTAAAACGAAGGCATTGTTTAAATTTAAAAAAGAAAAATAATTTGATCATTGTTTTAGATTTGTCCTCGGGGTCAGGATGCAGAAAATGGTGATTACTTTCCACTGGAGTCAACATCTTTATAATAACTGCATTTTCAAGTTTTGAAAAAAAAAAGATCGAGATGATATATAAATATTTTTTTTAAAAAAGGTTCTGTAAACTGTGTAATGTTTTGTTGTGCTCTTTTTCAGGTATGCTCACTTTATTATTTGAAATAAAATAATAAACTAGGCATGCGCGAGAAAGTGTACTGATACCTCATTTAGAGCACCCCAAAGCGTACTGAATCTGATACCTCATTTAGAGCACCCCCAAAGTTTTCCAATACCGAAATTTAGAGAACGCCGATCTTCAAAGGAAAGTTGTGGCGGTCATGCGATAACACTAAATATTCATCAGATTTAGCATAGGGGTCCTTGTTAAAAAAAGGATTTTTCAAGTGATGACTGCAGAATAGATCTTTTGTAAGTGACAGCTAGCAGATTAAGACAAGTATAAATGAAGTTTCCATATTTGGTAATATTATAAACTAAAGTAGCAGTGATGGTTGGATGCATTTATCATTTTTGCACCTCATTTTGCACATTTAGCTTCGTCATACCTTCAATTGGCATTTATGACGGTTTGACAGTAAGAAACTAGAAATGTGTCCATAGGACACGGATGCCCCCACACGCCACTGTTCTGTCAATCTTATGACTCTAGGTCAAATATTTTTTGGACTACATGTGCCACAAGTTGAAAACTAAAAATCAACAAATTTCCTTATTCAAGTGTTTTTTTTAAATGTCCTTGTAAAGGCTTGTTTCCCTTAGCCCTTCAAATTCAAAAGAAAAACAGTACTGTATATGTACAATTCTTTTTTAAAAAGTTATAGCCTGGAACCCTGTTGTATCGATCTATTTACCCATAAATCACAACTGCAGTTAAAAAATTTAAATTTCGCTGAATCTTTATCTTGTATCATTTATTTTGATCCTTTTGCCATAATATTTACATGGCAAACATCACTGATATACAGTTTTTAGCTTTGGAATATACGGATATTTACAGACATGTCAAACAGGTTGAAGAATTAGGTCACGCCATTATATCGATGCATTGTGAGAATCGCTCAGTTAATCAAAGTTTGGGAATCCTGACCCATCTTTATGCTAGATTTTTCAGACAATTAGAATCAAAGATGTCTGTTTTAAAATGTCAGCATAAATTTAGGAACTTTCAACAGACAGTAAATGTGTATTTAATAAGAACCCACTATTTATAAGTCTATTTATTATCTACAAAGTCCGACGGTACTGGAATAATAATATCTGTCATATTTTGCGGTTCGGATCAGAATATCGGTCCCGAGGTGACCCGCCCATTGGGCGGTAACGAGGCTTGCCGAGTTACCGCCCATGGGCGGGTGACCGAGGGACGGATATTCCGATCTGAACCGCAAACATATGTCATATATATTTTCTTGCATATTCTACCATATTCCTTTGTATTTTATATTCTTTATCTTTATTTTCAAAGAAAATTTATATCATTTCAACCGTAACTACTTTCATTCAACAGCGTATGGATTATAAAATCATTCATAACGGTACAATGACGTCATCTTTATCGTGCCATTGTACAGCACGCGACTCATCTGGAACCCCCCATGCCAGATGAAATTTCCGGCATGGGTAAAACTAACAGAAACGCCAGTCTGATATGCAAGAAACATGTTTATGATCATTTTTTACGGCACATAACGAATGCGAAAGATTTTCGTGACACTGTTGTAAATGTAAACAATCAGTAGTTGGCGTATTTTGCAACAATCAGTAGATGGCGTATTTTGCAAAAAAAATCTAAAGATTTGTAAATAGATCGATACAATGAATAGCACTCGTGATAAAATGGGGTTCCACTATAGTTCCAACTTCCAGCTCAGCAGCCGCTTCGCATGTCACGTGACAAGTGCCTATTGTCTATTTGACAGTCTGGTAAAAAAAATCATGGATCCAATCCCATTTATAATATCGTTATTTAATACCTTTGACATAAAGCATCATAAACTCTTTTTGTTCTGCTTTTAGATAAACAGCTACATCAGACGACGCCATTTTATTTTTGGTGTACTCGATGTATAACCAGTGTAGCGAGGAACAATGTTCCTTAGATTATTTAATGGTCAGTTCGCTCGGAAGAGTGGTCGGTACGATTTTCTTAATCAGTGCTCTTTTAATCACATTTTTTTGTTTGTATACAAATTCAAGCTACTGCATACTTATGACCACAGTCTTAACTCGTTTAACGGTGTTTCAAGTTTTATGGAATATATGTCCCAGTTTGCATACTGACAATATGAAAATATGAAACAAATAAATAATAATAATAATAATAATTATATTAATAATAAATATATTACAAAAAAAAAAATATATATATATATATTACATGTAAAGATATATTTATTGATTATGGTTTCTAATATCCATAATAGTTTTCTATCCATCTTCCTCAAAAGTATCCTTTACCCTGTGTCCACATATAATCGTCGAGCAGAAGAATGTCAATAATACCTTTCACTGACTTTTTTTTTGCCTTTTTTTAATGAGGAAGTATTTAAATATTTTTTTTATTGATTTTTATTTTGATTTTTTTCTATCTGCTTCCGTTTCCGGTTTGTGAAAGTCGAGTTTTGAAATATCCTGATTAAAAAAATCAAATTTATCATTAAAATGGCTTCGAATTATACTAAAAATGGTCAGAGACATGGCAAATATGTATTCTCAAGTGGTCAGGTAAATCCCTTTCCGTTGCCGCCAATTGAAATGCTAGCTGACAGAAACCAATATGAAGCGCTAGGACCCCGCCACGTCGATGACGACGACGGCCATGACAGTTCACCTGAAGTTTTTAACCTGGAAAGTCAGAGTAGCTCCCATGGGGGTTGGAACACTGTTAAACAATCGCAAAAAAGAAAAAAAGCTTGGTTCTAGTGTGACTGAATATGAATATAGAAATATGAATACAGATGATAAACTTTTGGTGATATTCGCCGATAACCAAGAATGTAAACAATATATGCAATCAATTGAAAAGAAACTCGATACATGTCTGAATTTATCGACGAAAGTAGGTCAAATTGATCAAAAACTCGAGAATTACATGCAGAAACAGACAATAATTGACTACAAATCCATTGACCAAGATGCTAGAAGTAGGCGAAACAATTTATTATTCGCTGGTTTTCCTGAAACGCGACATGAAAATTGCAAGAGTACAATTATAAACTTTCTCAAAGACTCTCTTGAAATATCAGAGGTGCCATATATTACTAGAGCTCATCGTTTAGGGCCGTTTAACAAAGAATATACAAGGTCCATAATCGTTAACTTCCGTGATTACGGGGATGTTGAAAACATTCTCGCTAACGCTTACAAGCTCGCCGGGTCAAAGAAAAGCATCAACAGAGATTTCCCTAAAGAAATCGTGGATGCCAGGCGTATACTTTGGCCAAGGGTTAAAATGCTTCGGGAACAATATCCAGATAACAAAGTGAGCCTCGTATATCCCGCTAAAATAATTATCGACGGAAAAGTTGTGTACGACTGCTTCCCCGACTGGAAAACCATCATGGCCCGGTCACGAATTTCACCACCAATAGCCTACAAATTCAATAAGAACTTTCCAATTTCACAAAAAAAAAGACGACAGTCTAGGGCACCCAGGATCGGTCGGCACCAAATCTCCCGACGGTAAGGCTACAACATCACGTGATCAACCAGGTAATCAGTCACAGCCGACTCATATTCAGAGTAGCCAACAACCATTCCGTGATTATTCTCCAACACACAAAACTATTGACAGACAATCCCGCAGCAAATCAAGATCGCCGCCACTATTACGTGAACGTCGTTTTGTACGTGCTACCAACCAGACTCCGAGACGCTACCAAACCTCGGACGCACCACGAACTAAAAAAGGACCACGTGATGTGGGAGCACGTGACTTTATTCGCCCTTGGAACAATCATTCACCAAATGGCCCAAATCACACTCTCGATTCTCAGCAATGGCCAAGTGTTAATACCAATACAATTGATAACTGCAAAAGCCCGGATGGAAGAGACTAGGTTCACGGGGGGATCAGTGACAGCTATGGTGACTTGAAATGTCTCAGTTTAAATGTTAGTGGACTTAAGCGAAGATTAAAATATCCAGAATTTCTGGAGATGATTATGTATTATGATATCATTATAATTCTTGAAACGAAATTAGACAATACAGACATAGTTGATATCAATGGCTATACTTTTTTGTCGAAACACAGGTCGGAAAATCTATATATAAGAAAATCAGGAGGAATAGGTATATATGTACGTAACAAATTTTCAAAACATATCAAAATGTTAGATAGTAATTCCGAGTATATTCTTTGGCTCCAACTAAATAAACAGTTGTTTAGCTACGATGAACACGTAGTATTAGGTGCTATTTATTTACCACCGGAAAATTCACGTTTTCTTAATGAAAATGGCGTCGACGAATTTGATAATGAAATAACTTCTATGTGTAGTAAATATAAATATGTATGCCTTGCAGGCGATGTCAATGCCAGAACGTCCCAGCTCCCTGACTTCATACCGTCGGACCCCTTTTTAAACGATATATTTGATATTGATCAGGAATCTCAAGCCTATTTCGATAAATTCACATTGCTAGAAAAATTTAATATCCCACTAGCTAGGTCCTCTCAAGATAAGAAAACTAACGCACATGGTATCCGGCTCATTGAAACGTGTCGAAACAATAATCTATTTATAATGAACGGCCGATTTGACGTTGACGTTAACGTTGGTAAATTAACATTCAGAGATAAGTCTTTAATCGATTATGTTATCGTAACAGCTGAAATGTTTCAATACGTTAACTCTTTCGAAATACTAGAAACTGATAGCCTATTTTCGGACGGACACAGTGCTTTAAAGTTTTCGTTTAAATTGTTTAACACACATAGAAACGCACAGTGTGATAATAAAACAATTCATAATAAACCAAGTTGGCAGCCTCAATACTCTGAAAAATTTAAAGCAAACATATGTTTAGATGACATAGAATCTATTAAGTATCAATTGAACACATACCCGCAATCTTTAAATACTGTAGAAAACGTAACTCGACAGCTACAGGAAATTTTCTCTAAATCGGCAGAACTCTCATTTCAAAAACGAGACTTTAATAAAACTCATATAAATAACGATAAAAACAAACCATGGTTCGGACCAAAATGTCATAAGGCCAGAAAAGACTACCATGACGCTAAAACAAATTACCACAATAATAAAAATAATGACAATAAAACAAGATTACAAAATGCTAGTAAACAGTATAAAAGAACTATGAATTATTATATAAACGAAAATAAAACAAAAAACGCCAAAAAACTAAGAAAAAATGAGCACTGAGAACCCAAAGCAATATTGGAAATATTTGAACGGCCTTAAACATGACTCGAAAGCGCATGAGTCACCAACCGTATCGGAATTTTACGATTATTTCAAGAATATAAATAACTCGGACACTGACAATAATGAATTCGACCCGAGCGAATATGTAAACAATCCTAACCGCGAACTACTTTTTAAATAAGGAAATTTGCGCAGACGAAATTTTAAAATGTATTAAAAATTTGAATAATGGAAAGGCAGCAAGCCCCTCCGAATAATATTTTAAACGAGTATATAAAATATACTCAAGACCTTTTATTGCCTATTTACACTAAACTTTTCAATGTAATTTTAGATACTGGTTTTATCCCTAACTCCTGGTTAGAAGGGTATATTATACCCATTTATAAAAATAAGGGCGATTCGAAGAAACCGGAATGCTATCGCCCAATAACTATTTTAAGTACACTTGGAAAATTATTTACTTCTGTATTAAACAATAGAATAACGTTATATTTAGAATCAAATAACCTTCTTCATGAAAACCAGGCTGGTTTTAGAAAATACTACAGCTGCTCAGACCATATTTTCACATTACATGCTCTCATTGAAATTCTAAAGAAAAAGAAACAGAAATTGTTCTGTGCATATGTTGATTTTTCTGCTGCATTTGATAAAGTATGGAGAATAGGTTTATGGCAAAAACTAATCAAAACGAATATAAATGGGAAAATATTTAATGTCATTTTTAATATGTACCAAAATATAAAATCAAGAATAACGCATTTAGGAGAATTTTCTGATAGTTTTTGTTCAAATACAGGCGTCAGACAGGGTGAAAATTTAAGTCCGGTTTTATTTTCCATCTTTTTAAATGATTTACAAGAATATTTAGAATCACAAGGATCAGTAGGGATAGAGTTAACAGATACACTCGACGCTGAATATTGGCTAAAACTGCTAGTTTTACTCTATGCCGATGATACAGTGATTATATCCAATTCAAAAATTGATTTCCAGAATACACTACTACACTTTAATCAATTCTGCGAACAATGGCATTTAAATATTAACACAAACAAAACAAAGGTAGTGATATTCGGCGCAAGAAATGTAAGAAATTTCCAATTTCATATAGGCGAATCAAATTTAGAAATAACGGAAAAAATATTTATACCTCGGAATAACTTTCTCTAGTAATGGTTCTTTTTTACAAGCTCGTAAACACATCGTCCAACAAGCAAAAAAGGGCCTATACCTTCTTTTAACAAAGGTAAATAATTCAAGTTTACCATTTGATTTAATTCTTAAGCTTTTTGACCATACTGTTCTCCCAATTCTTATGTATGGATCAGAAATTTTTGGCTATGAATCTTTAGAAATTATTGAAAAAGTTCAGTGCGAGTTCCTTAGAAAAATTACTAGTGCTCGAAAATCAACACCTAAATATATGTTATTCGGCGAGACTGGAGTAATACCGATATCAATTATGATTAAAAATAGGATGATTTCGTTTTGGAATAGGTTAGTTACTGGGAAAGTCTCAAAATTATCTTACAAAATTTATCAATATATGCTTAAACAACCAGAAAAAGATTTTAAATGGCTGAGACATATTAAAACTATACTTGAATCTAGTGGTAGAGCAGATGTGTGGTTACTTCAACCTGCCCTAAATACCCCAAACTTAGGAAATTCTATAAAACAAATCCTTATCGATCAGTATTATCAGGAATGGAACACACAACTCCAGTCATCTAATAAGGGTAGAACTTATGCAGTCTATAAAGAAACCCATAGCATTGAAAAATATCTAATACGTTTACCAAAGTATGAACGGGAAATAATGTTTAAATTTCGCACAAATAACACGCACTTTCCAGAAGAAACGGGACGCTGGGACGGGACGTCTCCAGAAAATAGGCGATGCGTACTTTGTTCAGAAAACGCTATTGGCAATAGCAAACACTATTTATTACGTTGCGAAAAATTCAAAGAACAAAGACAAAACATTTTACAAACTTTCTGCCTTGAAAATAATGATCTTAACTTTAAACGAATTGTCAACATACAGTCGGAAAATGATCTTAAGATACTCTGTAAATTCTTATCAATATTGCTCAAGCATGTGCGTTAGGTGAGTTCCGCAGACATTAAAAGTATAGCCATTGAAAACATAAATTCATATGTTATTATTGTATTAATGTTGAAAAATGATTGTGTTAAATGTGTCATTTGATATGCATGTCTTGAAATACGCTAGATAAGTCCCGCCGTGAGTACGTCGATCTTGCATAATCAATCTTGTTAAAGCATTTCAAATTTGAAAATTAAAGAATTTCGAAGAGGTCCCGTACCCCCGACGGCACTTATGCATTATAAAATTACTCATTACTGAATTACACATTACATTATATTAACTATTACTGGGTAAACAGTACCTTATTGCGTAAATCCTAATAAATCCGGTGAATATTTATCCCAATTGCTTGTGAAACATGCGAATTCATTTATTTATTTATTTTTTTTATATTTATTGAATTGACCAGGTTACACATGTGTTGTCTGAACCGAATTACTGCGCGACAAGAACAATTTGCACGAGGCATTCATTCACACACACACAAAAAAAAAAAAAACCCCGTCGTAGTAAATAAAATTACTAGAGCGTGCAATAAGGCATTGTGTACTTCCCAGTATTTATGTTATATAAGGTGCTAATATATCCTCACTTGAACCCCCATTTCTTTCTTTAAAACATTAAAAATGTATATTATTTTTTTATATTTCTGTTTAAAAATAATTAAATGACTATTAATACTGTATTATCTTTTCAGGACTTTACAACCGGAACATATATATATATTGTAAAATATTACTTTGTAAACCCCTTATGTATTTTATTAATACCTGGGTGAATAAAGATATTTGAATTGAATTGAATTGAATATTATTATTTACCTTTAATGACTTTGACTGAATCAGATAAAGGTGTGGAACTCACTCATTCTAGTGAATAACACATACAAAAATCTGTCGTTTTACAAAAACCGAAACCGCGTGCTTATGGTGTTTATGCAGGATGTTTAACTTTGGAAGGATTTTTTTTTTCAGAAAAAAATAATCTATGTATGGGTCCCTCATTAGGATGACCAAGCCGCAAGGACTCGGCACAGTGTTGGGATATTGTATTTGTAAAAAGAAATACTAGAAAAATATATATACTGAATATATACGATAATATAGACCATATATTATATATACAGTATATAATTTTTCTATAATAACGTTTTACAATATCGCAACACTGTGCCGATTCCGTGTGACTTTATCAATAACAAGTTACAGTAACAGTTATTTCAAAATGTTTTCAAGTTTTATTGATACACTCAGCATATTTACATATGATAGACAGACAAACAGACAGACATTTTTATTTCAATCAAAAAAGGCTTATATAAGCCCATGATGACATAATACAGCATATTTACAAGATAACGTGCATATGTTAAAATAAAAACATTATCACAATATAATTATGACTTTACAGGAGAAGGTCATAATAACAACTTATTTGTTAGAATGTAGAACAATGCAAATATTAATTTATGTTTGTCTTACACTCACGCACTTCTTATCTGTTAAAATGATTGCATGAATTAAATGTTCTGTTCTAGAAATGTTTAGCTACCCAAAAATAATATTATTTACCATGATATTAATCTATGAAGTAGTGTCACAACAAACATAATTAATGTTCACTACATTACACAAATCATTAAACTAAATTAGTTGATAATAAGTAGAACAGAACAGAATTTTATTGATTTTCCCTATATGCATATAGTAAAAACTTAAAAAATCTTCTTTTAAAGAACTCAAAGAGCTAGAGCTAAGATATTTAGCATGAAACATGTTCTAATGGGAGTCTACCAAGTATGTTCAAATGAAAGCCCTGGGGTCAAAACTGGCCCCGCCTGGGGGGGGGGGGGTATCATTGATTTTCCTTATATGTGTATAGCAAAAACTTAAAAATCTTCTTTGGAAAAACCCAAACTGCTGTTCTATTTCAGACTGTAATGATTTTGAATATAAACCATTATGTTGGAGTAGATATGACTTTCAACGTATTGGAGCTTTCTGCTGACAGCAATCATTTTTGTATCACACTGAATGCCATAATGAGGGGCAGAGAGTTTGGATATTTTGTGCCAGGTAAATCCATTTAAATATTGTATCATAGTTTGGTGACCTTTCTGTTGAAAATGTGTCAGGGTTAAATCGTATACATATACATGCACAGTGCGTTAACTGGAGTGCGGGTATAAGTTACCCGCACTCCAGAGCATGGCCATTGATTGGCTCATTTTTGGTGGGCTTAAGATATTGTGACGGCAGAGAAAGGGAAAGCGAGAGAAATGTCATATTCAGATGTTCGTTCATTGGTTCATTTTTGCCGGGGTTTCATAGTGTGACAGCAGGGAACGTGCTTTTATGTTTGACTGTGATACAAAAGAGAAAGAACACCAAAACACTCGTCAATCTGATTAATACTCGGGGGCTACGCCCCCTCGTACAAATCAGATAGCCTCGTGTTTCGGTGCTCTTTCTATTACTCAGCAATACCCTTCAGAGTATTTAAAGTGTATGAAGCTCTATATTTTCTGAAAAATTTATTGTTTTATTTCTAAAAACAGCTAAATACATGCGTGAAAGAAATATGAATGTATATAGCCTTAATGGCACAGTTAAAACTCCCTTTAAATTTTGTTCGGAACAGTTTATTCTGTTAACTTACAATTTTCATGCGTTTTTTTACATAACAGAGACATTTTATGTTTCAAAATTTTTGAGAATATACAGAAAGATAAACTATATGGATAAAAGGAAATTTCATAAGATATAGGTTAAAAAAGCATATAGATATATTTTTTTACTTGGACATTGCACAAGAGCTAAGACACAGCTAAAATAAGATAAAATAAGAGTTTATTTTGAATATTTATAATGTAGGCATACTTCTGAACACAAAAACATCTGCCTTTAAGTAACTGTTGCTCCTACATAACATTGCTGCCTTTGAGCTGTTTAAGTTGTATAATTTGTGCCCAACTATTACCAAAAACGAAACACCTGAGAATTTTGTCGTCTAATATTGACAGATTGCTTGTGTGTCATCTTTAGGCCTTATAATTTCCACTTCACTTACATATCTTATAACTACATTGGGCATTGTGGGGCGTCCGTGGCCGAGTGGTTAAGGTCGTTGACTTCAAATAACTTGCCCCTCACCACTGTGGGTTCGAATCCCGACAGGGACTATGGATTTTTCATGTGAGGAAGCTATCCAGCTAGCTTACGGAACGTCGGTGGTTCTACTCAGGTGCCCTTTCGTGCCTGAAATAATGCACGGAAGGGCACCTGAGGTCTCCTCAGGATTTTTGAAAGAGACAAAATTCTAAATTGAATTTGACTAAATAATTTGATTATTAAATAACAGTCGATATGATTTTCTTTATAGGTCAGCCACTTAACAGTTCGCCAACTGTGAAAAAATATGAATACAAATGTCCATACCAATTTGCAGAACAGATAGAGGTAAATGTCAGTTATTTAAGATTTAGAAGTTTTAATTTGCATATTAAAATGTAAAACAATTCAGCAGTGATTTTTCTCTCTTAATTGGGAAGAGGCCTTAACCTTAGCCTCTTGATTTGGGGATAAATTATAGCTAAAATTTCTGTAGAAGTAATATTAAAGCAGGTGAAAGGTCAGGTAATTTTGGGGTAAACTGCATGATTTTAAAGAAATTCAATTTGGAAGTGGCCTTTTAAAGGAGTCTGTTATAAAAGCCAGAAAATCACTGTAATTATATGTAGGCTTGCGAAGTGAATAAATATACTTTTGTCAGATAATTTAAAAAACAAATAATTTTAGATCATGTACATGATCTATGTAGATCTTCTACTAGAAAGCATAGCATTAATTAATGTTATATCATATATAGCCTATTGTATTTTGCTATTTCAATTTTAGATAATGCGTCATCTCCATCCTCATTGCCAGACAGCTGGAGACAGTGAGTTGCTGGATCCAAAGAATCGTGAATGGCGAACTGCTGCTCAACGAGCTATGCAATATAAGGTTTGTTACAAATTGAGATAATTTAATTTTATCAGACCTTTGTTAACCCCTTCTGAAAGGTTAAAGAAATAAAGAATGTTTCAAATCGTTTTTTTTTCTGTGAATTTTATACACTTTTTGAGAACAGTGTGCATTAGTGACTTGAGCAAAAAAGTATTTTGAAATATAATGACTATAATATAATAATAATAATGTAATATATAAAATTATATGATATATTTTGACATATAGGTATCTTGGGTTTTATCATTTTTCTCTGCTTTATATTGTTGAAATATTGCTTAATATTGTAGAAATATAGTTCTATTATTGATACCGGCTGTATCTTTTTGATCCATATCTATTTGTTAATTACTTTACATTCACGTTTTTGCGCAAATTTGTCATGTTGACGTTGGCATCCTAACGGACGTGACGTCAAATACTTTGTACGTCATTCTGATGAAGAAAACAGTCGAACTAGTAAAGATTTAAAAGAAATATGTGTTGTTTAGGTATATTTTAACTGTAATATAATGACAAAACATATCTAATCTATAAATTATGATTGTACAGTTACAAATTAATTTGCAATCTGAAATTTAATTATTTAATTTGTTGCTTCTGTGTGATTATTTCACTTATAATCGCACCATGCAGCATACAGTGCTCAAGGTGAGTCAGTTTGGTACCCCAATATCTGACATTTGTTGTCAACAAAATGATGTACTATTCATGAATGATTCCTGGGCGAGGTTCTTAAATTTGCTGATATGGTTCCAGTCCACTAAAAATGAGCTTAAAATAAAATCTTCTCCTAAGTTGCTTGGTTGTGCTGTCCGGTTAGCTCAATAGGTAGAGCGTTGGATACTTTTTAACAGATAAATTTGTAAAAAAAATTAATGATTATGAAACAATTGAAAGAAATATAAATTAATATAAAATAAATAGGCATCAGAAGGAAAATAAGACTGAAATATTTGTGTATAATTTTATTCAGTCATAAAAATAAAAATACTTACTATTGTAGGGTACTGCAGGCTGCTGGGGAGGTCATTTTAAGGAGGCCATTGTTATAAGTACAATATCTAGAAGATGCTATCACTTGATAAGATCGATAATAGCCACTAGGAAGACACTTTTCTTGAAAGTTACTGGCTTTATGTTCCGGGGATTTTGTGGATGTAAAGATGAGGGATTCATGTACACAATGTTGAGAAAATGGGACCAGGGAGATATCAGCCCAAATGATGTGAATGAGCAATTGAAACAAGAAAAGGTTTGTTCTTAAAAAGATTTTACATCTGACTTTTAAAGCAGCATGAGCAAAAATATTAATCAAACTTGTAAAAAATGTACTAAAGTAGAAAAATTCAAGATTCAAGTAATAATTTTTCATGTTATGAGCATTGAATGGTGATTTTTTTATTATGTGTAACTATATATCTACTGTGTTACTAACACAGTAAAGGCTGCCATATTTTGTCCTCTATTTTGTAATAAATATGGGTTGTGTTATTGATAATGTGTAAATTGCTTTCTTTAATTTACTAAACAATGCATTTAATTTCATTTTAAAATTTTCATGAAAATGAGCATTAATCATGAGGCTTAAGTTAAATGCAATTTCGTTGGATTTTTGGGGAAGATTTTTTATCTAGGTCATGTTCCAATTATTTGCATTTTCCATCCATTTTTTTGGGAGAGGTTGCACATACTGAAATTGTGGTACACAGATTTATCATAAGTTTATCAAGGTTAAGTATGATAAAGCAATTTTTGACAGAGTTATGCCCCTTGGACAGAGAAAAGGTGCATATCCAATCTCATGCTTAGATGCTGTATATCTTTCATTAGATTTGCTAAACAAATACTATGCCTTTTTATTGGGCAAGTTAACTTTTAAAAACTGATTTTAAGGGACCAGAAAAAGGTTGTCTCGGGCAGAGGGACAACTGCTTATTTCGCAGACTGCTCTTGTGATATGAATCTTAACAGTTAATTTTCTGGTTTCGAAAGTGAAATAGAATTTCAAGTTTTGCTTAAAGAGACAAAATGAAAATGATTGGAAAATATTTGGATGGGATCAAAAGGTGTCTGCAATGATTAAAAATAGACATTATATTATATATAAAAGAATTAATGCCTACTTCTCAGTGTGGTCCAAAGGCATAACTTAATAATCTGTTAGTTAAATTTAAGTAACTTGATTGAATTTAAGTAACTATGATTTACAGGCTCTGACTCGTCCAGTGACTGAATGTGATACTTTAAGGACAAAAAATGCTGAGCTGGAAAGACAGGTGGCTGATTTAATGGAGGAAGTAAAAGATCTCAAAGCCAAACTGGTAAATCTTTTCTTTCCAAATTCTCTTTTTCTCATCTGTTTAAGATGTAAAAGATTCACACTCTCATAAGAGTATCAGCTTGTTTAAAATAAGTCTATTTTCGTTCTTAGTACTAGACATTTTTTTTTTTTGCCTATCTAATGCATTAATATGTTTGGAACACTCATGACACACCACAGATGAGTTTCAACTAGAAAACTCCAAACATTAGATACTATTTTATCACGTATTTGTCAAAATGTTTGTAGTCATGCTAAGTTAAGCAAATGTTTAAAAACTGGCCAGATGGCAAAGCCATCCTGATTAATGTTTTCTTAGTTTGTAAAATTAAATTTAAAGGATACATTTGTGATGTTTTAAAATTTCTTTAAATAAAAAATACTATTTTTCATCTTTCTTAAGAAAAAATCTTTTTAATAAGAAATGACACACAGATTACATACTGATATATCTTTTCTTTAGGATGAAGCATTAGAAATGAATGCGAGACCCGCACAAACCTATAATGATGACATGTATGACTTTTCACCAAATCATGAGGTATGTGTATAATGTTTTCAGCTATTATAATGAAGAAATTTCTTTAATATTAGAAAAACATGCTCAAAATTAATTGACCCTTAGAAAGCAATATAGATGTCCACTTACTCAATTACTGCAGTTGGTTTTTAAAAGGTTTAAATGACCAAGTGTTCACTATTCTGAATTTGAAGAGCTGGATGGACTTCAACTTAAGGCAAACATAATAGGATATTTGTTTAATCATCCTTTAAAGAAGCTCACAGAAGCCAATTGCTATTGGTTGAACATTACTCTGTTTTTTTAGACCAAAGTAAAAAGGTTTTTCATCCGAAAAAATGGACAAACTCTAGAAATATACTGAGCACTGACCTGTGATCCATGTCCTAAAGAAGTGCCTTGCTACCATTAGATAGTATGCCAAGCAGTACAATATATTTGAAAAATTCCAAAAACAAATTTAGCCACAATTACTAGTTCAAAATTGTTTTCAGGATAATTCCACTTGTATTAAAACTACATTGACAAGATAACTGCATATTTCATGTTGATATTTAATGTGACAACAGTTATTGATACCTTTAGTATAGCTTACAAACAAGAGCTGTCATAGGAGACAGCAAAGCTTGTCTAATAAAATACTGGACGCAGTAAAGAGGACAAAACTATAAAAGAAAAATCAATTATGTATAATTATGTATTAAGTTATAGTAAAAAAATAACATTTGTTAACATAAATTCCAAGATCAAGGGGAATAATTCTAGAAATACTCATGCTAGAGTTATGAACCTTGTCACACAACAAGTGTGTAATGATAAGAAATATATATTTAAAGTTTGAAGAAGATACCTTAAAAAGTAAAGAAGTTATAATATTTCTTAAAGAAAAATCCTAAGTTCAAAGAGAGATAAATCTGTTAATATTGCTTCAAGAGTTATGAACATTGTCACATAAAATGTAATTGATGATAAGGAATAAGTTTGAAGTTTGAGGTAGATACCTTTAAAACTAAAAAAGTTATAGTAAAAAATGACATTTTTCTAGTAAATAATCTAAGTTTATGGGGAGATAATTCTTGCAATATAGGTGCTAGAGTTATGAACGTTATCACATAAGATGTGGATGATGATAAGGTACATGTATTTGAAGTATGAAGTTGATCCCTTTAGAATTAAATAAGTAACAGTAAAAAATAATATTATTTAAGGAAAATTCTAAATTCATGGGGAGATAAATCTGAAAATATTGGTGCTAGAGTTATGTACCTTGTCACATAAGATGGGGATGATGATGAGGTACATATATTTGAAGTATGAGGTTGATCCCTAAAGAAAAAAAAGAAGTAACAGTAAAAAATAGTATTTTTTGAGGAAAATTTTAAGTTCAAGGGGAGATAAATCTGAAAATATTGGTGCTAGAGTTATGATGTGCTTGTCACATATGATGTGGTTGATGATAATGAACATATATTTGAAGTTTGAAGTTGATACCTTAAGAAATGACAAAGTTATAGTGAAAAATATTTTACTGCACAAAAACTTTTATCTGAAATCTTGACGCCGACGCTGGGGCGAGTAGGACAGCTCTCCATATACTTCGTATAGTCGAGCTTAAAATGCCCCTTGTCTTACTGTGCAGTTTTCCATATGTTTTTACATGTGCAATAAGAAATGAATGAAAGTTTTGAACAACAAAAACAACAATGACCAAGAATTTGTCAAAATGAACATATAAGCTAGACTTTCTTCAAAACAAGCTAACTACTTTATAATGGAAATAAGTTATGGTAAAATTACCATAAAATATGCATTTTTTTTACAAACATTTCGCAAAAGAAAACAAAATCGCAAAAATTACACGTTTGTTACAAAATTTTGTTTTCTTTTTGTCATTGAAAGTAAGGGTTTTTAACAAACCAAACAAAAAAATAGAAATGACTTGGGGAATTTTTTTGGGTTTTCAAAGAATAAATTTTACTAGTTAAAAATAATTTTTTTGTTTTTTAAAGTAATTTTAAGTTATAAAGATTGTTGACAGGTTATATGGCCCTATATAAGCGGCTCTGGTTATATTGCAAACAGCCATTTAAATACGGCCATATAACCTGTCAGCAATATTTATAACAAATATATAATACAGCAAGCATCATTTTTTAGAGAATAAAGCCAGATTTCTTTATAAATTGACAGCAGCCGTGTATATAAAACTTTATAAACGTCACAATTATCCAGAGAAAAGGGACGTTACAAACATGCAGTATTATAAATAGTAATAAAGCTGATAATTCATATTCAAATTGAAAATCATACCAAAGTAATACTTTTTATGTTTAAAATGTAACAAACTATTTTAGAATGTCATTCAATCATAATATTTCTTCAATAAGTCAACTAAGTCAGCTTTCTTTTTTTTTTAAATATATAATATTAATAGTATTGTTTTGTCACTAGTAGCTTTATGCAAATGATGTGAAAATAACTATGTTTTCTTTTAATTTTACAGCCTGAAAGTGGTAGTGAATTAGATGATAGTCATCATGACCCTGATTGGATGGATAATGAGGTAACAAATCATTTTAAATATTGTGTGGAAAAAAAAACAACAATAAACTGATAATTTTTATCATAGGCTGTACTTTAAAAAAATTAGGAACATTATAGTTCACCTTCCTCCATTATTTTTGCTGTAATAATATTATATGATTAAAAACTTAATCACTTTTAAATTTAAAATACTGCTACTGAAATACTGTACGTTGTAACTGGTATTGATACTGCATAAGTTGACATCCCTAGTACGGATGCATCATTGATAATGGTTATAAGTTGGGGATGTGGCATTGTAATGACATCAATAAAGCATTGAAAACAGGGGACATAAATCAGTATGCATGCTATTTTCTGTTGCACAAGGCATAGGATATTTTATTTGTTCTTTTTAATGCACAGTGCATTGAAGCTACTGTTTGTGTGCTTATTCCATATCTTAAAGAACTTTGTTGGTTTAAACTATTATAAGTTTGTTGGTTTAAACTACTATAAGTTTATAACTAAGTATTATTTTCTCAGGTTGAGAAAGCTAGTGATACATCAGAAAGTGAGATTAGTCTGAACCAGGCATTTATGTCCATCACAGAGTGGAACCCATTGGAAATAAAGATAGAGTGTACTGAAAAGGTATTTTTAATAAATTGATGCATTGATCGTCTTTAAAAAAATTAATGTATGTCAATATGCAAGTATAAACTATAGAAAAAAAATAACTCTGAAGTGGAAAGGTCTGAATAAATGGAATTGCCATTTTACATAAATCAACTGGTGTAATTCAAATGGAAAACAAATATTTCAAAAATTAGTGAAGAAATACTTCTCAAAAAAAAATTTTGTGTGCATTGTATAAGAAATCAAATGATTATTGTATGGGGTCATTTGCACAATAAAAATAATTATATCTTAGAAAAATAAGAGAACAAATAATATGAGATTTTGCACAATCGTCATCACAAGTTATTGTCCATATATATATATATATGTCAATTGGTCACTAATCTCGGAAAAGTATTTAAAGTCCCTTCATGTGAAACACACAGTAAAGATTTAAATTATCACACACCCGTGCCGATTTTGCGACTCCGTAAAAATGGTATTGCACGGCTGTGCAGATATTTTGACGTGACGTCATTAGCGTTATACAAACATAGTGTAACGACGCGCTAAATGTTAGCGTTATACTATAGGCGCGTCAATGAAAAATGACTCTTATTTCACTTTAAACGGTATTTATTTTGGGTATGTGATAAATAGAATATTAAATTCGTGTAAGTTCATTACTGAATTTATTGCACTCATTGAATAAAATAATATTATGCTCGCCAGAGGCTCGCATAATATAATTTTATTCAACTCGTGCAATAAATTCAGTATTGAACTTACACTCATTCAATATCCTCTATGTCTTTAACAAAATTAGTCAAGTAACATGTCTCCTTGACATACTCATGTTCATCATGTTCAACAAGTTGTCATATACTTAAAATAAAAGTTGCAATAGAAATAGATTCAAATAACTGGTAAATAGACTTTTTTTTATATAGTTTCAGAATGTCTTGTCAGGAGAAGAAATCAGTGATGAATTAAGAAAAGTGGAAGATACACACTTACAAGAAGACACAACTGATAAGGTAAATATACATATGAATAATAATGCAAATAAATTCTGATAGGCATTTGAACTTTTTATGTCAAATATTCAACAGGCACATTTAACTATGTGTGCAAAACTTTTGTTATTTTGTTCTGTTTTTTTATGGCATCTTGATGGATAGGAGATTATCACTCAGGCTAGCATCTTGGATCATGACGTCTCATTCAGGCTATATTCTCCCATATATATACTGGCGGCTAGGGTTATATTTACAAACAACCATTTATATCGGGCCATATAACCTGTCAACAATCTCTATAACTAATAATATACATGTCATTTTTAAGGGAGATTTCTATATGGAATTTTGCTCGAAAATTCCAAAATGTGTTTTCCAATGTAAGTTCTAGAATAGCTACAGTATGCCCTAGGAGTAAATTTTTTTTTTTGAATCAAGAATTTTCTGATTCTGATGTAGACAGTAGATTTTTTGGTTCTTTATTTAAATTTGGGTCCTTGCATTTGACATGTTGATGATTGTATGTTAGATTAAAACTCTTGCCTGTGATACAGAAAAAAATGTGGAATCACATAGAAAACCTTCAAAATAATAGTATTCTACTTGTTGCATTTGTTGCTTTTTGCATTTTCAATTTATTATGAACAGTTACATAAGGATAATGAAATGTTGCCAATAGTAGAATTTATTTAATTATCTATGCTACAGACTGATGTGTGTGATGCAGCAACAATAATTGATGATGATGTAAAGAAGGCACAGAATACAGTATTATTACAGGATACAAGAGAAAAGGTAGATATAAAATACAAGAAATTCAATATGAACATTTAATGTCTTGACAAGTGCTGAATATTACGCATGAACCTGTTGCAAACAAAATAACATCATAGACCTCTACCAAGGTTATCCAAATTATAGTCCTTTGGTTAAAATGATCTCTCCAGGGTCATAGGTTTTTGTGTCACCCCAAAGAGTAGTGGGGACATATAAGGATCACTTCTCCATTGTCTGTTTGTCTGTCACAAAACTTGTCAAGACTATTCCTTAGAAATTACTGGTGTAATTTTGTTATGAACAGTACCAAGTCCACATGTGCTTATTGTGAACATTTTCTGGTTCAAAGATTTTTAGCACAGTTATTGCCCTTTTTATTTTCTAAGTTTGCCTGGACTAATCCTCTTATTTTATGCCACAAACACAATTTCAATGAAACTCTACAGGATTGATCGGCAGCTCAAGTTCTTGCGTATATTACATGGGTTTGTAGTTGAATGATTTCTGGCCAAGTTATGGACCTTGAATAAGAAAATGTTAGTTGTAGCATTCAATTTGCTATCACAAGGTGATCACTGATTGCTCTCATCTGGTATACATTTAAAAAAAACTTCAGCCATTATTATCTTTCTAGGGACTGTCATTCAAGTTATTCATGATGCTAAACAATCCTTTTTTAATACATTTTTCTTTGATATTTATGTATAAATATGTGATAACCCTGACTGGCATTATACTCTAAACATACACTAGAACAGATTAAAATTATACGTTAGCACAACATATGAAGACAAATTTTTCCAATTTTATTGTCATCAATTTTTAGATTCTATTGTTGGAAACTTCCAAACAAAAGAGTGTCAATGTTTAGCATTGTCTTGTAGACTTTTACCAGTGACGATTTTTTCCTTCCACATACAAGGAGTCTCTGATGAAGCTAAAACTTTTGAACTTCTCCTTAAAATTTACTGTATGGGTACAATAATGTTCTAGCCTCCTCTTATTCTCACCTTCTTTAGGGCTCGCATTGTCCAGTTAAGTTTACTTTTTGAAACCATTCTGACACAATAATAGAGCTAGATTATATTTTATAATATTAATGTATTCTCGTATCAGATATGAAAATAATACTCTTCTTTTTTCACAGAATCACATCCCCGATTCTTTGGACGAGAAAAAGGGCATTGCAACCAGAATCTTTAAGGTATATTAAGTTCAATATGTTTTTATTTTTACAGTCAATTATAAATGATTTAATTTTATAAAATGTGTACAAAGATCACAAAGAAATAAATAAGGTTTAAATTATCATTATGTACCGTGCATAAGGTATTGTAAGTATTTCTATAATGCACTTTAAATGATTATTGTCAGATTCAAAATATAAGTGACAGCAAAGACTAATGGTTTTATAACAGCATGCCTCCAGATTCATGCTTATATTCATCAAAATGAATTATAATGAATGAAAAAAAATTATTGTGATTTAAACAAGAAACTAATTTACTCATTGCAAACCATGTAAATTACCAAAAAGAGATCAAAGCAAGCAAAAATAGCTCTAACTGCATTAATTATTCAGTAGAAATGTAGTGATAAAAACTGCAAAATCAGTCATTAATAGCATATAACATTTTAATTATTGCTTGCATCTGAATTCAATTTACTTTCTGTAGAATCTCGGTACATTTTTCTCAAGTTTGATTTTCTTGAAATCGTTTGGTTGATCTTGAGGTATCCAATATTTAATATAATTGCTTTGTTTTTACAGACATGTGAAGGCTTAAGGCAGAAAATGAAAAGAAAAAAGGTAATTGTACTGTATCTTTCTATAATAGGCAGATCTTATTGCTTACAAAAGGTTATTTCAAGTCATTTAAACATAGTTTAAACTACATGTAGTTTTATAAAATATAATCAAAGGAACATATTAATAGACAAGAAATGTATTACATTCTTTGACAAACAAGAGAAAAAAAATGATATGTTCAGAAAATTGATGTAATGGCAACATTGTTTTCAGTAGATATACTTAATTCTTTATTTCTTTTTTAATTGCCTATTATATGGCATTTGCCAACAAATTCACAACCTGAATACAGCTAGTTAATACTTGTACAGTCTTAAACCACAAATGAAAAGTAGAAAGAAACAATATGTAAAGGGCATATTCCTTCAGTTAAATATAAAATGAGTCATCTATTTAAAACTAATTTCCTTAATTTTAAGCTACACTTTGTGTTGGTTAACCTTTTCATTTAAATTCATTTTTCTCAGAATTTGTGAAACCTAGTTGCTTCAAACTTTGTATTCCTGTTTAATGTCATTATGAGATCAATTTTTTGTGAAAATTTATACGGAAAGCTCTTTTTTTTCCAGATTTTTTGCTCTATGCTAAATCTTCACTATATTTTGACACTTTTTCAAAATAGCAAGGAAATGTTAATTTCATTTTCGCCAAGCTATGTCATTCTTCACTTATTTTTTTCTTCTTAGGGCTATTTCTCAAAAAAATATCTAAATTTATCATTTCAAACTTGGAAAACTTTTAAACAATTTTAAAAATAAGGGCAGGCAACTTTAAGATTGATTTTTTTCTCATTGTCCCTTTTAGACTGCTTAGTATTGGTTGACTGATTTGTTTAGGTAATTTCTACCAGCTTGGAGTACTTGTTTAATTACACAATGCATTTCTAAAGGGCAAATAACCCTGAATGCCAATTAGGCTTGTGTTTCTGTGTTTTTATTTTATTGCCTACTGAATATTTGCTTATTTTGCAAAAACTGTATTCACTTAAGACTTGAAATATTTGTTGACAACAAATGGCATGTATATCTGTTGAGCATCTTTACATATAATAACAAGTATGTCCCTTTCTCTTAGTTGCTTTTATTTAACTATCAAGTACTGGAAAAGGTGGAGACCCTGTCAGTAGACTGGTCTTTATCAACACATTTATGCTCCCAAGTCTGAGTTTCAAATGTATTTATTCCTCTATAGATTGATGACTAAAGTAATATAAGAGCTTTGTTATATTTAAATTAAGATAAAAATACTTAAATTGTTGCTTTTATAACAGGCTGACTGTTCACCAGAAGCTGCTAAGCTACCCCAAAAAAGATCAAGAAGAGTATCAGAGGTAAGCATAATTTTTTAAATCTAAATGCAATGATAAGATGGATAATCTTATGGTTAAGGTGTCTGTATCAACAACTAAAAATTGTGAGTTTGAACTCATGGCCAAGCTTTCTGTCTCTCATAACACTTTTAATGGTTGATCCCAGAGCTTGTCGTATCCATGACAAGCAAAGTCAACTTGAACAACAGTTATTTTTTTAAGGCAATTTATTCAAACTTAACAAAGTGTAAAGGACATCAGGGAGTTGGCTCTGCCAAATAACCAAACACATTGTGAAATGTACAGATAAAGAAAATAAACAACCAGTTTCTCTTAAGAGCAATATTGTTACCTATTGTCAAGTTGTTTTAGGCTCGACTTATTCTAAAAAAAAACAACAGAGGTATTGTGTTTAAGTCATGGCATTGCTGTTGCCGTCCACAAGCTTTACCTTTGATCAAAACTACTTAAGTTCTGTGTGTATTGTCTTTATTCCTGGATACAAAAACCCTTGGGACAATACCTTCAAGTAGACCTGATTTAACTTGACCTTTATTCAAAAATGACCTTTACCTTCCAGGTTAAATGTCTAAATTTAGTTACAGTCAACTATCGTTATCTCGACATCGCTTTTCTCGATATTTCGTTATCTCGATGAAATTTTGAAAGTCCCGATTTTCTTCCCTATCTATCTTTATTGGAAATATTGTTTATCTCGATATTTCTATTTCGATATTTTCAGTATCTCGATGTAAAATTTCAGCCCCAACAGTTATTTTCACACTATTATCCTTTGTTTATCTCGACTAATAGTTTTCTTTCGTCTGTTCCCGTCAGACGTGTGAAAAACACAATCTAGACGATAATTGCTCAATTAACAGCGCGTGTCATAATGCCGATTATGTTTGTAACAAGTTTAGCTGTTTTAATAAAAGTTAATCTATATAGCGTGTTGATTGACTTATGTCAAAAATGAGTGAATTTTACATTCTTTTTAAATATTCGAACACTGTACAATTCATTATGACTTTAAATGTAAATGAAAAAGTAAAAGTATAGAAACGCTATCGTTGCAATATTGTTTCACAACATCACCACCAAATCAATCAGCGGTCGAACACTCTCGAGAAAGACCCGATAAATAACCCGGGATGATATCCGAATCAACCATATCCGATATCCGATTCACTATATTGGTGTTTTACTGAGTAAACCTCACTATGTGTTTTTATCACAGACACCCGTTTTTCCGCTGGTAAACATCCGCTAATGTTACTTTGTCAAATATTGACTAGTGCTATGAAAACAAGACATAGGGATATTATAGTTTATTTAACATAATGTATGCACATGTCTTTTGTAAAAATTAGTTTCGCTTTATTCTAACCCTAATATGTTTATCTCGACATTTCGTTATCTCGATATTTTTTGGACGGTCCCAATGACTTCGAGATAAACGAGAGTCAACTGTAATTATTGCTGATTTTTGATATTGCTGGTTATAACTTTGTCATAATGGATGGTCTTCAAACTTGAACATAACAATCTTCTAGGATTTACCTTCCAGCAGAACGTAACATCCACTCATAAACAATCTTAACTTGAAGTGGCAGCATGGCCAAGTGGTTAATATGTCGGACTAATGGTTGCTAGCCGCATGGGTTCAAACCCTATCGGGGGCAAGTCGTTGTTTCTTTGAGCAAAAAACTTAACACACATTGCTCAGTACTGGTTGGTTCCAGGAATTGATTCAAAATGTGTCTATAAGCTTATAGCTTCCTACACAATCAAACTAAAATAAATTCTGTATAAACAAAACAACCTTGATATTAAAGGTCAACATATTGAAATTTTCATGTTTTTGTAACTGGCTATAACTTATTAAATTCATGTTATTTAGACAAAACATTCATTTGGATGACTTTATTATATGCCAAAAACAATTTGACCTTAGCTGATTTATGACCTTGACCTTGATGGTTAACTTATTGGATTTTCACTGATTTTTTGCTATAATACACGTAATATACATGCCTTCCAGTCATAGACAGAATTGATTGTTAGGGAGTAACATGTAGATGATATACTGTAACTTGGTAATGAATAAATGGATTATCTTCATACTTGGACATAACAACTTTGGACAATTATACATTCTGGGACAGTAAAGGTCAAATTAGTGAAGTTTATTTGTAACTCTTGTCTTAGTTTTACAATTACATTTGACAAGCTTATTTTTCACTTTTTCAGATTTTCAAAGTTGGAGATAAGGTCATGGCTTTATGGGTGGATGGAATCCTGAGCTGAAAATACCATGACGCAAGAATTGTAAATGTTATTTCTTCAGGTAGGCATTAGATCTTTTCAAAGTGTTCATATTTCAAAGTAATATCATATATACATAAAAAAGTGAAAAGGAGTAGAATTTACAATATTTAATGATAGCTTAAGTTCGAATTTCATTCAAACAAAGATGGACATTAATGAGAAGAAATCATGTAACAATATATGAAAGCAGCACTCATTGCATGTTGTTATTAATGATGCCATGTTAAAATAGCTGACTGTAATGACACTTCATATACTTTAATTAAATGCAAATGGCACTTAACCATGACAAGGCTTGTTTCTTTATACATAATATAAATAACAAAACATGGAATTACTGAATCAAACTTTTTTTTATAAGAAAAGGCTTATTCTCTTGCTTAATACATAAACATCTGCAAAGGCACTTACATACCAAACCCCTTGCTCTGCAAGCATGGGCTTTGCTTTTGCATGTTAATAAGGTGAATTAACTCTTATAGTATGTTGTCGTTATATGATTATAATAATGGAATTAAGTTGATAAGCAAAATGAAAAGACAAAAAGAAGTCTTTGATTGCTGTACAATGTAACAGAAAAGGTTGATGTCATAATGTACCATTTTATTACCTTTTACTTCAAAAAATATTTGAATTTACATCTGTAATTTTTTTCAGACTTGTTCAAAGTGAGATACACTGAAGATGATGCTGAAAGGTTTTTAAATAAAAAGGACATACAGAGAATATAAAGGGATTAATATCACAGTCAAATTTAGTAAACCCCAGGACCAGCCATAAACAAAGAAGCATTATTTAAGAAATAAGATATCCCTAACAGTGATTTTATCGCTCAATACCATCACTGTTTGGAGTTTGGATCCAAGGAATTATATCATGAGGGCTTAGCCTGAGTGATATAATGATGCGCATCTGAACGACAAACAGTGATGTTATGAAGCGATAAAATCACCGATTTGGAAATATTTATTTTGATTCTAACACGACGTCAACAAACAAATGCTGCTGTACCTGATATTTAGCAAAATTGTCTCGGATTTGTTTCCGTACTTAATTTAAGCGCGTCGGATTCTTTTAGTGGTTACGTCACATATAAAATGATTACGTCACATATCTAAATCTAAAACGTCAACTGTTACTCTATTGCATAATAACACACACTTTCGGTTCTTCTATATTCAATAGTGAAAATGAGGGTCGTGTTAGAATCTTGTATAATATATAATAAAAATCTATGTTAAAATGTATTATTATTTTAGATATTTATTTCTGAATTAAATATGTAAACCTTGTTAAGACCCAAGCTTGTTATTTATATTGTTTCTTGCACCCACACATTGAAGGTCAAGTGGCAACATTCCAGCTTTACTGGTGGAGGAAGACTAAGGAGCCCCTCCGTGCATTATTTCAGGCACAAGCAGCACCTGAGAAGAACCAAGGACATATAATAAGATTCCCTTATCTTAAGATAGCAGAATGCTTCCTAATGCTAAAAAAGAAATGGGTTTAAAGTTATTGGAAATGACAAGTCTGCCACAGTACCCCTTTATAAATGAGACTCTGAGAAGTAACTAAGAATTATTGAAACCAGATTAGGCTCCCAAATATGTTTGCTAGCAGAAAATTACTTTCAAGAGCTTCTGAAGTTCATGTTCTAATAGTTGAATCATTTATTATCAAGCATATTGAAAGATTTGATTAAAAAAAGTATGTAATTCTTTGCAAGCAGAGTAGATTAAGCAAAATTTACTAGCCTTATGTCTTATCTGCCAATGATAAGTCCAAAATTTCTACTAATGAAGGGTTATAGAAATATATAGTGTACCGGTGACAAATCTCAATTTTAGTATTATGTTATCACATCAGCTGGATACATTAAGTATTGGCATTGTAATAAAATGTCGGTCCAGTTCTTTTCACAGAAAATACTTCTCTACTTTACAGGCAAGTTTGTTCTGTGATCATATATGTGCATTATTGTTATAACAAATTAAAGCAACTGTGTACACTTCAAATATAAACATAAATGCTACAGTTAAAACTGTCCACTAATTAGGGAAGAGGATGTTAAGCCAGATAAGTCGGTAGCTGCCGGATGGTGCTCTGAGGTGCCCTCAGGGTCCAAGAGAGGACTCCCATATGGGCTGCACATGTTACTCACCCTACAACATTTGGCACCCGACATGGGGCTGTGACTGCATATGGTCACAAATTAAATTCACATTGCTCTGTTACCCTGACAAATTTAAGGACAATCTTCAATAAAGCAGGGACTTTCAGGGTTTAGAACTGACTTTTTGGGGTAAAAGATGTGTAACCGCCAAGAAATCTTAATAGATAGAGATTTAGAGATGTGGAATGGGGTTCAAGGGTCTCGGGTTTTGTATCTTGTCAGGTTGCGCATTTTTCTTAACTGGTAACATGATTTATTTGCTGAATATAAAAAATTTGAATGTATCTTCAGAAACTAATATGCCTTAACTTGTGCTTAGATTATTGTACTATTCATTTTACAGTCAGTACATCAAAAAATGAATAAAATTCTTTATTTAGAATGTTTAAATATCTCTCAAAACAAATCCTATATTATTCACTTTGAAACATAATAATGTATAAATGCAATACAAGTATTTAGATACCATGACTGACTGGACCAATATTATGTACTATTCCATGGTCTCTACTATTTTCCAGTTGAAAGAAAAAGAACTTGTACCCTGAAGGGACTTGGTCAGAATATTGCATCCTTGTTAATACATGTGCTTGAAAAATTCCGTATGACATTATTCTTGTGAGCTTATGGTTCAGCTCATTGATGTTCAGTTTGTTAAACAAATCGGCATATATCATGCCTTTGGCCAATTTGTTTGTTTCATTTTTTACGCCTTTTCCCAACAGTATTTAAGGAATATACGCGGGTAGTTTCCTAACCATCGTTCCTGGAGAGTTACACCAGTACTAGACTACCTTCTACCACAGTGAAGAATATGGCCAAGACAATATTAAAATATTAGCAGTACAATTTTTTAAATTACATTATAAATCACTAGCTCTAATATTTACCATTAATCCACGTTTCATCTAAAATTGATAGATATATTGATATAATTATGTAATATTTAGTCAATGTCTGTTACAAAAATGTTGACGTTGAAAATTGTGACATTAAGGGTACAATTTCGGACCTCTCTCTAGCTATGATCATTTTCAGAATAAACAATAGAATAATAAACATTCCAGTATAATTATGCTGCTGGAACTTTGTATATTAGATTAGAAATAAAACTAAAGCAATTATCTGGATTGATTATATGTATATGAAAATCAGTCCAGATACATAGTTTGGTTCAGTAGTGAGGACAATTGAGGAACTTTTAATGCCCCCCCCCCCCCACACACACACACCCCTACAGAGGCCTCAAATACAAGTGTCTGCAATATCTAAAATAAAGAAACAATTTCTTTGGTTAGAAGAAGAACAAAGCTTTACTGTGTCAAATGTCCAGATATTTACCTTTAAAACTGATGGTCCTGGCCAATACAGCAAGATTTGGCTATGGTTATTGTGACTTAGTCTCATACAGTATAGCCAGTACTAGTAGGTAGAATAAGAAAAGGCCTGTATGTCAGACGGCTTCCATAAATATAACAGAAAATCAGGTAATAATAATAATATTGTAACAGAAAATTATAATTATGGATATTGTATTATTATATACTTGTAAATTAAATATAAATGAAAAAAATGCATATTTTTATTTTCACTGCACTGTATTTTCACTGGCTCCAGACAACAAAATGAGTTTTATAAGCCCAAAATTCTGCAACCTCATGCTTGGGAAATCGGAAGTACATTTATTATTTCCATTTGGATGAGAAACACTACCTTTGGGTAAAAAAAATCAAACTTTTTTGTGTAGCACAGTCATTGAATTTAAGATTTTGAATTTACCGACCCGAATTCCTGTTTTGTATTTATTCTAATATATATTTAAGTAAATTTTCTTAAAATTTTCACTGGCCCAAACTAATTTTCACTGGCCATTTTGCCGAAGCATATTGCAATAAATTGCAATACATATTGTCATGTAAATGTTTTGATGTAAAGATGGAGAAACATTATATGTATATATTCTTAGTAGAATTTTTATAAAAATGTAAGGACTAAATAGAAATTAAAGTGTCGCACAATTTGATAAACAAAACTAGTTGTGCTTGACCTTTCACATCTGGGCCACCAAGGGAAATAGCGACTGCATATTGACTTGTAACTAAGTATACCAGTTGTCGGATATTTTTATTGTATGTTGCGCCAATAAAATGTGTCAATTAACTTTTTTATGCAGAATTTTTATGTAAGTAGAAGGCAATTTATTAAAAGTTTTGATTTTTTTCTAAAATACTGGTTTTTGAAAAATCGTACCGCAGAACAAAATTTATTTTTACATATTGCAATATATCGGTATACATGTAAACTGTTACACCCTTAGTAATAATTGATTTTACCACTGTGAGGTAGCGCATAGAAAAGTAAATTATACTACATATAGTCTTTATTTGCATGTAAAAATTTGTATATGAACTTTAGTGTTATTGTGGGGTTTTCTTTATAAAATCATAACTCGATCATGAACACTTTTTTTAATGAGATTACAACAATACCAGTACTGTTAAATTTGTTGATGCTTGGTTTTTAAGCACATGCAAAAATATGTTTGCAAATTTTATTTAATGCACTGCTGCCTTCAAAGACATTTTAGGCTAAATCACATCAATGCGACTAGGTACCGGCATAATAGATACAATATTACAGCAAAATTGATATGTTTCAGTATTAGATCTACATATTTCTAGCAAAATATAAAGTCACATCTGATCTAGAATAAAACCACAAATACTTATTCCCTCGCTTATAGAGTTTTAAATGTATTGAACCTACTTCCCAATGAATAGTTTCATCCAAGAATGTGAATGAGTTTAAATCAAAATTAGATAAACACTGGCAGAGATAAAGATTTATACTAACGTGTCATATATTAATGTGCAAGTCCAATATTAATTGTGTAACACATTAGTCTTGATATTTATATCATGTTTATTGGAAAGACCAATACCGGAGCGGATGGGCCAGAAATTAGAACTCTAGGAAAGTGACTAATAAAGTCAGAGCAAAGATAAGAGTTATTTACATCTTTGATAAAGTTTCCCATACATCACAAGGTATCGCTGGTATTGTGCCGAATATTGACTTTTTTCTCCCAACATTTTTACTAATCAACTGGCCCCGTGTTCACTAAGAAAAGATCAGGATCAGGATCAAGTGATTCTGATTTTATTTTCATTGTTTAATGTTACTAAAATTATTTGTGTTTTGTTGAATTAAATTGTAAATATTCAAAATGTAAAAAAATGCTGATTTGCAAAGGAAACAAACTATTTTGGGATAAAATCAACAAATAACAAAACAAATACAAAAATATTCGGATCAAAATAAGGATCAATTTTAGGATCAGGATCAATATTTGGATCAACTGTAAAATGCTCAAATCTTGCAAAAATAACAATTTATTTATTCTAAAATTTCATATACTTGCTAATGCAAGTCCAGTTTTATCAATTTTATATTGAAAATTAAATCTATGAGGATAAATAATGAAGAATATTAGGGTTTTTAAATTTGATCCTGATCTTGATCCTGATCCTTAAATCTTTGTGAACACGGGGCCTGTAGTCATGATCTAATTTATCAGACGCTTGCATTGTATTACACGGTACTTAAAATTTATTGGCGAATAGAAATTAGCGCTATCGACGCAATTCAGCATTGTTTATTATGTAACTAATGATTGTATGTAATAAATGTTTGACTGTGTGAAAATGTTTGAAATAATATATGTTTAAACTAAATAAAAGACCTGGCGTATCATTTTTTTATTATTTTTAAATAACGAATAAATGTTATTTTATTTAAAATAAAAAATATATAGAAAATATATGCTTTTTAAGTAAGAAATTTAAACAGTCCCCAATACGGGCGAATTCTCCCATGTGTGTATTCTCCCATTGCCCTTAAATGGGAAAATTTCCCCATAACACTTAAACGGGAGAATCCCCCAATTACAAAAGTATCCCATTCCGATGATGGGAGATTTTCATCTCCCATTCTGATAACGGGAGTTTCCCCCCATTACCATGTTAGGTGAAAACCACCAATGGGAGAAATCCAAATTCCTTGAAATCTGTTGCTAAAATATTTTAAATGCATTTATATTCGATAATATTATCCATACATCAAACAAAATCTAAAAAAAAATAAAAAAATTCTCCAACAATTTTTTTCTCCCATTCTCGTAAAGAGGAAATGAAACCCCACGAAACTCCCACTGGGAGACCAAATCCCCAATGGGGGAATCGAAAAACCCCATGGGACGGCCAACTTTGAATGTCTCCCCTGCATTTAATTTTAAGGGTATCGTCATTTCAAAGGCCAGGTTTTACTCGACTCTATCTCTATTATTGACCGGTCTTTCAATTTTTTCTCTAATCAATTTAAAAAAGGTAGCTGAGTTTGCGAAAATTCCGGATTTGCAAACTTATTCCGGAGGCTGTTATAAGATTCATACTTCTTTTTAAAATAATGTTATGATTTTAAGAGGATAACACAAGCGTTTTGACAATCAAGTATATTAAGATCTTATATATCAATGTCGAATAAGGTTTGTTTAAAACAATAAGGGGTCAATTAATAATAATCAAAACAGAGTGTTTTATCTGTTGTTGTTTTTTTTGTGTAAATTGAGCATCATCAGATACCTTACGATCAATCTTCTAGTTCTTCTAGTAAGAAGTTCTAAGACTCTTCGCACTTAAATAATGAACTTGTTTAACTCATTTGTATAATCAATAAAAACCTATGACTGTATATATGGGCATTTTAGTTTAAACCAATATGACAATATTATCTGATATTTATACACGTGTTGATATATTAATAATATGATTGCTTATGATTTCAACAGAGTAACGCGGAAATGAGCATGAGGTTTAAACCCGGGGTCGAAAACTCATAATCATAGTCGGCCGCTGATCATATCACTTACAAAAATTTAAATAATGTTGTCACATTTAACGGCATCAAAACCGCTGTAGAGTAGCGTGTAGCATTAAACAAGGTAATAAGGGTTCTGTCTATTTCTAGTTTAAACAAAAGTTTGAATTTAAGATGAAAACTCAAGCGTACAAGTGTACCATTTACAAACACAGTTTTATTGAAATTTGGTGAAAAAATAAGTGTACAGTTTCACTCCAAGAATTTAAACTTGCTTCCAGATACTAGTTGACTTCGTATACACATAAGGGAAGCAAATCTGTATATGTTTCTTAACAGAACAGAGACAAATTTCAAAGAGAAAAATATCAAAGGTATTAAAATAGTGCTATTGTTGTATCTATCAAGTGTATTAAGAAATAAATAAAGTTCATATTAGGACTGGGATGACCTGAAGTCTTCGGGGTCATTATTTATTTTGCAGCTCGATTATCACATCCAAGTCTATTAACGCCTTAATAATATTAATAAAATATCAATGAAAATAGTTTAGATTCAACACGAAAATAAAGTGATTGATCTGGTTTTTGTTGGTGTCCTGCTGGGCCGCTAGACGGTAGCCCTGTGTTGCTGTTTTTCTGTTGTCACCTCTGTATACAACCCACTAGTTGTGTCGAAATTTCACTTCATATCAAAGTTAAAGTTCAACGTTTGAATAGATTGAAAAGTAGTAGTATGTCCAGTTACCTTAAAATATCAGTAAGAATGACATCTTTTTTACCTTGAAAAGGTGTATATGAATCGCTGCTACTCAACACTCTTTAGAGGGTAAAACAGATCGCTGTTAAAGCTTGAGAAAAATCAAAGAAAAGAAGCAAGGTTGCCTAGATACAATATATTCTGCACGAACAAATATAAAATACGGGAAACATGATTTAGGAGAAAAAAAAGACAGCAGGACACAACATGTCTATAGAATACAGCACTTCCTAGTGAAATCAACAATCTACAAAACTCTTAGCTGGTCAAAAAGAAAATCAGTACTGCTTCATTGAGTCAAATGTTGTGTTGTATGTTTATTTAACAGTAAAGGTTTGACTACCATCCAGCATCCCAAGAAATGTGGAGTGATGTGACCTTAGAAGCATACCGTGAAAAAGGATAGTACGACATAAATGAAAGCAGAACCATAGCATGTATAGACCCGTGACAACTATTCGATTCTCTACGAACCTAGTGCTGAAGAATTAAATTATATGCAGACGATAACATTCCATTTCGATGACTCAACATACAACTCAAACGATACCGAATGATCCTCCTTTAAAGAAGAAAATTATTAATTGCTTCGTTAAACTTGCTTGTAAAGTCAGCACGTACGCATACGAAGATATATGTTCGAAGACATACGTTCGTATATTTACATACCTTGCAACAAAAGCGATACGTCTTGAAGTTATACATAAATAAACAAAATAATTCTTTTATCGCAGAATATCTGCGCTTTACGGCTAGAAGAAGATATCCGAAGGAAATGAACAGCAATAATTGTGTTGATCGTCACATACGAATGAATCAATGTAAAAAATGGAAAGCAGTTGACCAAAACAGATATTGATTTAAAATTTTGTTTACCAAACGCAAAAGAAAGGATCATGAGAGAAATGATCGCTATTTCTTTATGAATTATTCTGAAATTTAACTTCTAACAGATGAGTCATTGCTTACTTTAATTACAGACACCGATATCGCCTATTTGCTACGACAATGATGCCTTCAAATATGTTACTGCTTTTAAAAAAACCCCAAAAAACAGCATTACAAGGGGAATGATAAAGAGTTAAAGCTTATCATGTAAATTGTTGGTGAAAACAAATTATATATATTGCTTATTTATTTGACACTGATACATGATTATATATCAATCAAAAATGGCAGAAGAAATATACGAATTTGCTTGTTGGTGACATTATGTTACATTCTGACGATAAATCGAAATGGAGACAATGACCCATGGAAATGGACATAGACGAAGTTGTTAAGTGAAATATAAAAACAACTGAATGACTAAAATCTACTGAACTACACGTGTAAGAATATGGCCAGGATTGGAATGGACATAATAATTTGTCAGTGTGATCTACGCTTTTACACAACTTCAAATGTTGACGCGACAATAACTAACGTCCGTATAAAACTAGAACTTGAGGTTACTGATAGAGATCGAAATGTTTTTGTCTAATTCAACAAAAAATTATATTTGATTTTAAATATTATTTATTTAATAATTTTGTTTAGATTTAAATATATAAACTTTTCAATAATATTTACTGTAAAATTCGTATTTTACTCTATTATTATATATTAAATATCTAGATATTGTTTCGTATAAAGGCTTATGAGGGGCGTCCGTGGCCGAGTGGTTAAGGTCGTTTACTTCAAACCACTTGCCCCTAACCGCTGTGGGTTCGAATCCCGACAGGGACTTTGGATTCTTTCATGTGAGGAAGCTATCCAGCTAGATTACGGAACGTCGGTGGTTCTACTCAGGTGCCCGTTCTTGCCTGAAATAATGCACGGAAGGGCACGTGAGGTCTTCCTTCACCAGTAAAGCTGGAACGTCGCGATATGACCTATACTGTGTCGATGTGACGTAAACCCCCCCCCCCCCCCCTAAAAAAAAAATAAAGGCTTATGATAAATATTTATAGTATATTTTTCCTGAATAGCTCAGTAGGTAGAGCGCAGGTGATAATCCCGATGTCGTGGATTCGATACCTACTCTTGCCACAATCATTTTTAATAATATTGTTTATTTGATATATATATAATTTTGCAAGTTCATTCATCTTCTTTCAAGAAAGTTTTTTTCAGGTTCAATCTGGAATATTCTTTCTGTAAGTACCGTTTAAGTACTTATTTCTGCGGGCTTAATTTTCTGCGATTTTTGTTAAAATAAGGGGTTTTAAATTTTTGCGTGTCTTATTTCTGCGGTGTCAACATTCTCGCAATGATGCGATTTATTTCTGCGTTTTAATTAAGATATTTGTACAAAATCACAAAATCAATTCAAGATTGGTTGATATTTCATTACTTCCGACGACTTATAATGTGTTTCGTCGTAATCATCGTGTATAGGTTTACACACGTTAACTTAATAAACAAAAAATAACAACATTCAAACACAATTTGAATAACAGAATATCTAAAATAAACAATGACAAGATCGCACATAGACACAAGGATTTGTACACATACAAAAAGTATGTTTATTGCAGGTTTAAATTGTAATAACAAACAAGGGTCATTTTTTATCAAATCTTTGATAATGGTATCATTTAATATTTTAAATGAAAAAAAAATGAAACAGCCGTATAAACAACGGTATAAAGCGCACATGTAGAGAAAATGATATTTTCTAATCTTTTATTCACGACGAATGAAGAATAAAGATTTCATAAAGAAACATCCCAAATACAGTTAATCTCTACAACAGCCAATTTCGATACATGGTAATTTAATTATAAATACTGATAGTTGAAATATTTCGACATGTACATAGGGAAAGGCTTAGTTTTCTGCTGATCTATAATCTGTCGTGTCGTTATGAACCGCAGGAAAAGGGACTTATACGTAGGTTAGTATTTTAGATTGTTCATTGATAGTATATATATGATGAATGTTTGTACTTCGAGTGGCGAGTGCTAATTGTGATATTGTGTGATGTTGATATACTGATTGTGTGCTATTTTACTTATGATATCGTGAAGCTAACATAGTAATATACTAGTTTAGATTCCATTCTGTGTTGGAAGTGTTTTGGATTTTCTGCTGTGAACATTGGACATTGATTAAATTTGACTTGTGAACAATTGGATTTCGAACAGTGAGTTTAACATTTGGATACATTTTAAATTTGAATCGTGGATAATTGTGAGTTAAACTTTATTTCATTTTTTCTGTATAACTGTAACTGTTTTTCGTTTATTAAAATTGTAAAACGTGTTGCTGCGTTATCTTCTCTGTAACAATTTATTTATTATTTTTTATACATTTACTGTTCATTTAAGAGAATATCTAGAAAGGAATATAAGTAGATAAATGTGCAATACTTGTATTGATACCTTTTGAAAATATTAAATTTCAATTTTCAAAAATAATGCTCGTCCAAGTAATTTATTATCAGAAAAAAATATTCCGATTCACTGTAAAAATGCATAATTTTTATTAACTTTTAATTAATTTTGAATATGATATAGGAAACCATCAAGCAGTAGGTCTGCTGATATTTTTATTTTTTTCCCAATTATGAAATTAAAATGAGAAACTGTTACAATTCTAAATTGTAAGAAAAATGGAAGAAATTGCAATTCTAACTTTTAAAAGGGAAACTAAAAATTAAGTAAGTGAATGATATAGTACCTCATGATGTATTTTCCTTACAAATCCAGATATCACTATAAAAAGTTATAGAATTGCGCAACAAACTTTTGAGGCTCTTATCAATAAATTTTAGATTCAATGACACACCTGCCTGGTTTTATAGGAATGTGTTTTTTCTCCTTCATAAATATTGGTTATAAGTAAAGATAAATCGAACTATACCACAAAGTAAACATTTGTTAAAAATAAAAATGAAACACTTATAGATAAGATATTGATCAGACAGTCGTAAAACTGTTTTGGTGATTTTATCTGATAGTTGTCATGTAGGAAATATATACATTTTTCCTAATGCGTTGAACGAAATACCTATAAATTCTAGGAATACTACGGATAAAGGACATTATTCTGAGTAAGAAAGTATTATGATTTTGCTAGATATAAGAAATTTTAGAAATTTTGGTAAAGTTTTAATGACAACAGACATTTGAATTTCCATAGACACATGTTATGCGCGTATTAACGATATTTGATATTAAAGGTGTGGCTTTATCTATCTTGTTAACTTGCTTACTTTATCCTCCTCTATCTTAGTTGAGAACTCATAAATAAACCTAATAAACTAAATCATCAAATATTTGAATTTAAACGTGCAAACATACTAAAATAAGAAATATTTTATTCGTATGAAATAAGATATTTAGCAAGTTTATCATTATACACTCTTTTCCTTTTTCAGCAAAGTTCATTAACCGATAAGATTCACTCTAATAAGTTTATTTGTCGTCACATAATATCAAACAAATTTCACTATTATCACAATACATCTAGCACAAACATCTAGCATTGCAGTAGTATAGGGGTCGGTTTAGGGGCACGACTGCGCATGTGCGGCGCCATTTTGGATTCTATATTTAGAATAACACCATCGTTCTATTTTTAGAATGTTATCATCTTTTTTTTTTAGAAATCTATTTTTAATCTCCCGAAAATATACGGAGCTGTCTCGTATACGCGATCTAGGCTTGAATCGCTGACATTGTAGGTCAGGTCCTCGGCCATAGACTGAGACATAAATATCATCATTTATAAAAGAAATGTCTGTAAATAAATACATGCTTAACATTTTAATTAATGAAAGCAAATAAACTAGAATTAAAAAACGTACAAATAGCTTATGTTTTTTAATGTGGTCAAAATAAATAATATACATTGAATAAAAATAGTACTTGTTTACTCCTCGGCGGCTAAAAACCAAATGGCACAAATCATTAGTGTATTATTTCTAAATACTCTGATCACAAGTGTATCAAACGTGATCGTAGTCACAGTGTCTGTCATTTATTTATTTAGGGACGGATATGCACACAATGGTTCATTCAACTATCAAAGTTAATCTCTTTAAATACGCCACTTAGTCTTGCGTGTGTTGATTTAAGAGCGGATGACGGACAATAAAAAGTAAACATGTCAAAGTTAATCCTTTTAAAGTCGCCACTTGGTCTGGCGTATGTTAATTTAGGGACGGATATGCGGACAATGCTACATTCAACTGTTAAAGTTTATCCGTCTAAAGTAAAAGCCGGTAAGCAGTAAGCTATTTAAGTGTCAGTTTACCACTGGGGCATAATTTAAAACTCATTTTGGAGAAGAAATGCCAACATTTTTTTTAAAACTGATCATCACGTATGTGAAAAATTATATTTGCAATGGTAACTAAAACCGAACAAAAATACAACAGAAAAAGCGTTTTTCTTCTTTTGTGCAACACTTTACGATATACATTTTGACATTTTTCATATCATTTGATAGACCTAACCAAATACTTCGAAATAAACCCTAGGTTCTCGATTCGATTTTCAGCTGTGCTCGAGTTATTGCCCTTTAGCGGTTTTTAAACCAATTTTTTAAAGTCCATAAAACCATATGATTTATATACCATTTGAAAGATCTCTGCGATTAGATATAGAAAATGTATTATTATATTGATCTTTCTCTTACCGTTTCTGAGATAGGAGAGTTTGAACATGGCAAACAAAATCACTCGTGCTGATGTCTAAGTTTCTTCGCTGACTGGAGAATTTGTTGCTGATTGGGGTCCTCTTGTAATGCGTAAAAGTCAATCAGAAAATGGACATCATTTTGTCTCATCTTCTTTTTCAATGTGGCAACGCATCATTAGCAGTGCGAGCATAAGCCTCATCAAAAGAGTACTCTTGATCTATGTAACTGTTTAGCCCGTCTTTAAATTGTTCTTTACAAGAATGTCGTAAAGGCATCTGAAATCTTCTATCCCATATGTCATGACATTTGCGTTCTTCTTTGAGCTCTTCTTTTATACGCTTACCAGGAGGTCCCATAAAGAAAGCTTGTCTCTTTACACCTGTATCACCACCCTCTATATGCTCTTTATCAGTATCATTATCTGCATTTTCATCTGCATCATCATCATCATCGTCATTTATTCTCGTGTCAGACGAATTAACTTCACCGTGTAACTGGTTCTCCGGAGGTATATCCATCCGTTTTCTAAGTTCTGGATTGTTGGCCTCAAAAATGTCATTACGTAAACGATAATGTTCAGGTGTACTGGATTTTAGATATATTACCAAATAACCGTAAGGTTTCGACGTAGCTTGTTTGAACCGTTTCATTAAAAATGGCACTGGATATGGGATATATTCTTTTGGCCAATGTAACTACTTGCTGTCTGTCGATAGGATAATTGAACAATACCAGGTACTGGGTATTCAAAGCGATGTCCCTGCAAGCTTTTACTTGAAGAAATAAATTCTTGGTGAAATAAATGATGGATACGTTTCTGTGATGGCTGTTTTTAGCCAAAAGATCGGCAATTCTCTGGTCACATTTGGCTTCTGTCATCCAATCGTCAAAAACAATCAGGTTCCTTTTTCTGACGTTGATGTACTCGGGATTATTCAAGTAGTCGGGGATACCGTGTACAAATTCTATCCAAGGTATTCTACGCTGAAGTTTGTCATACAGAGTTTGCCATTGTCCGAAACACCATATGATGCGTTCAGGCGGCTGATGTACTAGGTTAGATAACAGCAGTGTTCTGGTCCATTCCGTTTTTCCACATCCACTGGGTCCGGAAACAACCATGGAAAAAGGGTGCTGAAATGTCATATTTTCTGAAGTCTTCCCTTGAGTTACTTCTTGTAATAGAGAATTACTTTTATCTGTGTCGTAACTGCTATGCACATGACGTTCATGTCTTTTCTTGTTGTCAAGCCTAGAGAACACCTGATTACATACAGAACACTTATTCATTTTAGTAGCAAGATTTATAAAAGCTAAACAAATCTGCCTTCATACAAGTTTATTTAACGATTCTTGCAGATACAGGAAAAGAAACGTTCTCTCCTTCTCCTCCTCCACATCCTCCTCCTCTCCCTTCTCCTCCACCTCCTCCACATCTTCCTCCTCCTCCACATCCTACTCCTCTTCCTCCTTACTTGTTTTATGTATTTTCACACATTGCAAGGAACGGTTGTCCTCGAGTCAATCAGAATAATTCTTATCAGTGACCAATCAGAACGCTTCTTTTACTTCATTTATTACGATTAACCGTAGCGATTCATTCATTTCCGATTTAGATAGCGAGGAGTAAAGACTGGGGGTTAGCTTAATTTAGTTATCTTAATGATTTTTACTCATGAGTAATTTCACTTCCGGTTTGTTAGTTCCAGCTTGTAGCATTTGTCAAGACATTTCGTTTGATATGCAACATGCCCATGTTATGTCCAGAAATAAGCGGGTAATCGTCGTTTTACGCATGAGTGTTTTTGTCTGCCATATTCAAACTCTCCTATCTCAGAAACGGTAAGAGGTAGATCCATATTATAAAACATTTTCTGTATCTTCTCGCAGAGATCTTTCAAATTGTATATAAATTTTATGAATTTATGGACTTAAAAAAATGGTTTAAAAAAACCGCTAAAGGGCCATATTTCGAAAACGGCAGAAAATCGAATCGAGAACATAGGGTTTATTTTTAAGTATTTGGTCAGGTCTATCAAATGATATGAAAAATGTCAAAATGTATATCGTAAAGTGTTGCACAAAAGACGAAAAAACGCTTTTTCTGTTGTATTTTTGTTCGGTTTAAGTTATCATTGCAAACATAATAGTATAATAATAACTGTGACTACGATTACGTTTGATACACTCGTGATCAGAGTATTTAGAAATAATACACTTATGATTTGTGTTATTTGGTTTAGGGTTGCGAGGAGTAAAGAAGTACTATTTTTATTCAATGTATATTATTTATTTTGACCATATTAAAAACATAAGCTATTTTTATGTTTTTTAATTCTAGTTAATTTGCTTTTATTCATTAAAATGTTAAGCAGGTATTTATTAACAGATATTTTTTTTATAAATGATGATATTTATCTCTCCGTCTAGGACCGAGGACCTGACCTACAATGCCCGCGATTCAAGCCCTAGATCGTGTATACGAATCAGCTCTTTATACTTCCGGGAGATTAAAAATAGATTTCTTAAAATAAACAGATGATAACATTCTAAAAATAGAACGATGATTTTTTTCTAAATATATAATGCAATATGGCGCCGCGCGTTCGCAGTCGTGGCCCTAAGCCGACCCCTATACTACTCATTGTTATCAAGAGAAACATTTTCCCGTACTACCACACAAGCACCAATTATAATGTAATTCAATAAAAAAACAAGAGTATTAATTTCACAAATAACATAATTTTCTCACATGTGTTATCATTTTGTCCTTTTTTTAATAAATTCAGCAAGCGGAGAATAATACACTGCTATGATAGCAAATCTAAGTATGGCATTATTATGGCCCACGCATTGGAGTGATTAATCCTTAAAGCTGTAACGAGAATGGTGTTATAGATTTTACCATTTTTTTGAAATCTAAATAACATCTTGGCATTCAACGTTTACTTCGTGCACATATGTATTATCTGCAGAATTCGTCTCTTGATCTCCATGAATACATCTGAACTTGGGCACGTCCCGTGTAATTTATTTTCTTCTATGTTTGATTGTTAGCATCGTACCTTTCATAGCAGTGATAATTCCATGGTAAGGGTCAAACGCATTTTCAAACTTATTCCGTTGTTCCCGTTTTAATAGCACACGATCTTCAAGTTTGAAATGATTTCGCTGAGCTCTACGCTTCTTATCAGAGTATATTTTTTTTTCTGGCTAAAATATATGTGTTGTTGTTGTCAAATGTCTTTTTGGGTAGTTTTGTTTTTAATTTCCGATTTAACATCAATTCACTAGGAGCCTTTTGTGTAGTAGTTTGTGGTGAGTTGCGTAAATTCATATGATATCTACTCAACGCTCTTTTATAATTTTGTGTAGATGCAATTGCTGTTTTAATTTCTTTTTGCACTGGCGTCATGAATCTCTCAAATATTCCATTTGCTTGTGGGTGCAATGGAGTTATTCTTTTATGTTTAAATCCAGAATTATAAGCAAATTCTCCAATTGCACAACTTTGAAACGGAGGTTCATTGTCCGTTTCAATACCTCTGTATATTTGAATATAAAAAATATCGCCTCTAATCGCGGTATTACTGTTCATGCAGCTGTCGGTTTGATTCTCGCAACGATATAAAATCGATTACAACTAGTAACATGTAACCGTCCAGAAATGATCAAAGAAAGTCACAACTGACTTCAGAAAATACCTCTTGTGGTAGTTATGTCGGTTTGGTCGGATCTGGAATTAGCATTCTTTGCACGATTTACATATTTCTTCCACCATTTAATCAATATGTGGAAACGAAAAATATCCACGCAGTAATCCTTTGCATTTTGATTGACCTTGGTGACTTTCATGCGAAAGCAAAACAGTTTGATTGGCATGCAAAGTTGTGTACCACGTAAAAGCAAAACTCCGTCTTCCGTGTGTGCTAGTTCTTGATTTTCTTTAAACAGGTTTCGTATAATAGAAAACTTTCATCTTATTTGCATTTCTGAGATTTCCAGTCATGGTTTCCTTACGCATTTTACACTGCTTAATATACAGTCCGTTTCGATAACTTTCGCTACATTTGACAGTTTCAATATATCTGACAAAACGTGATCAGTAATAAAGCTGATATACTGTTCTGCTACTGTGTTTGTTTCGTGTCTTGCATGTGAATGCCTGGAAGGATAATCTGATATCATTATTTTACCTGGTATATTAACTGTCTCAAAATCATATGTTGTCAACTTCAAACATCAACGTTCTAATCTTGGTGAATGTATAGTCTTGATATTGAAGATTGATTGAAGTGCAGCATGATCTGGTATCAGTTAAAATTTCTTGCCGAATAAATACAAATGGAGACGCTGAATTATGAAAACAGCATTCAGTGCTCTTCTTCCTGTTTGGATATTTCGCATTTGAACTGAATTGTATGCTTTGCTTCACTATGATACTATTTTCCGTTTTGAATAAGTATTCCTGAGCATCCAACTGGACTCTTCCGTCAACCCAGAGTTCAGTTTCCTTTCTTGGATCGGAGTTTGTCATGACATCACTAATTAAGGTATCTTTTTATAATGTGAACATTTTTTCTTGGCCGGAAATCCATTTAAATTTTACACCTTTATGTGTAAGTCGTCTTCATGATTCTGCTTTGCTTGAATAGCCATTTTTGAATTCAGACAAATATTTTGTGAAACCCAGAAATGAACGGATGTCGGATATTGATTTAAGATTATTCACTGTTTGACTGCATTTACTTTGTCGGGATCAGGTTAAATTCCTAAGGCAGAAAATATGTATCTGTGGAACTTGATTTTAGATTGTTCGGGTGAACATTTTGTCCGTTCATTGTATGGTTTCGGTCTTCAAGACGTAATAAAGCATGAAAATTGACATCATGTTCCTCATGTGTCATAACAAAAACTACGATATCGTCGGCAATATTCAATCGCTTGTTAGGCCTTCAAGTGCTTGACGAAGCTCATTTTGGAAACTTATCGATGCTGCGGACATCCCGTAATTTTGACGAAACAGTCCAATATGTGTTGTCATTACACATGATGTTTCATCCAATTCAATTTGATTGAAAGCCTTTTAGAGATCTAGACGCGATAACACCGTTGTGCCGTTTAACGTCAAGATGATATCATCCACGTCGGGCAAATATATTGTTTTTTTTCTGTTTTGAATGCTGTGATGGCTTACCTCATATATACGCACACTCTCACTTCATGCGGAGCATAAGGCTTCTGAGCAGCTCCTAAGTTCGAAACCAGTGGTGTATTGTCGGTACACCTATAACATTTTCAATGACATCCATTTCCTCTAAACTTTAAAGTTTCTTTTCGACTTGCGCACGTACATGAAATGGTACTCTCCTAGGTGGTTGAGCTACAAGTACAATACTGTCATTAGTATGAAACTTAACTTTTCTGTCTTTTAGACATCCTAAGCCTGTGAAAACTTGATCATATTCATCAGTAAGTCCTGAATATGCGACTTTGCTTTGAACTAATTGTATATGCGGTAAAATCCCGAGCTCTACCGATAAATTATAATTGATCAATGATTTTTTATTGCTTTAACCTTTTACCCCATGAGCATATTGCAAAAAATGGCCGTTTTCATTGAAAAGCCTCCTGTAACAAGTTCAAACTGCTATGAAACTGTGAAAAATGCTTCAATACTGATGAAACTTGGCACAAATGTTGACTACACCATAGCCTCTGTAACAGCATGCTCAATTGTAAATTTCCTGTTACCATGACAACGGAGGGACGTCTCAAAATTGCCAAAAATCACTATTTTGCATTGTTTTCTTGCCATCAAAACTGAATTCAAAGTGCTGCAACTTCTCAATGAATTGAGATAGAGTAAAAGGCTTTTCAGCGTCGGTTACTAGTTACCCTAAGATCGACCTGAGGCCATTTATAGTCTGTCACATGTCTAAAATTTTCTTGGCGATGAGGGGGACTTCGCCCCCCTTCAACCCACCCATACAGAAGGTGGCACATCCCCCTTCTGGCAACCCCCTGATGTAACATTTGGATGGGGGACGGCGCCGAAAAAGTGATCACTTTTTTTAACCACATTTTCAAACGAAAACCAGTGTTTGGGGCCTAAATAGGGCATTTTTTCACTGTTTCAGGCCTCAAAAGGGGGGGGGGAGCAAACAGCCGTCGAAACACGCTTATATGAGGGAAAAGATTAAACGATATGTAAATCTTTCGTGAAAATATTCGTCTCCGACTCACAAGTAGATAACATATACCTTTGGAAGTGGAAGTGGAGTTTCTGGCCAAATGCGAATGCTTTTATTTTCGTTTCCTTGATTTCTGGACAAATTTCATTTTCTCGAGGTCGATTTCGCTAATAGTATTTAACAATAAACTACTTTTAAACTTATTTATGCTTTTCTTTGGCACTTTTTTCATCTTACATCTTTAATCCAAATAACACATTCGAACTGTCATCCGCCATGCTGGCCTCTTATAAAACAACTTTTTATCATCAATTATATTCACTTTTTTTTTATAGATAGATCTTATTGAGTAAAAGTACAGTGTAAAATACCGTTTCTGTGTTTTACCTAGTTTTGGAGTAATTGCCTTTTGGTCATTTTTACACTTTGAAGTTGGCCCGTATATAACTCTGTAACTACAAGAGATATCAACGAGAAACTTAATAGGTAGATAGATGTCATTAAGTAGAAGCGCGTAATAGCGCTAACTATTCCTTGCCTAATTCTTGAATTATTGCCCTTTTTCATTTCTACACTTTGGAGTTTGTCCTGTACATAATTATACAAAAGATATCAACAAGAAACATTGTAGGTAGATATGTCTAATTGAGTAGAAGAACAACTTATAAAAGTAACTATAACTATGGCTCGCTTAATTTTGGAGTGACTGCCATTTACTTTTCTCTCTGTGAACTTTACCCGGTGCATTAACTCTTAAACTACAAGATATATCAACAAGAAACTACTACTTTGTGTCCAAAAGCTTTTAGGGAAGCATCAGCCGGCTCTTGTTTGTAAAACTATAATATTACATGTAATGCTATAGTATGATGATTAAAAAGTTAAATACTTTTTAAATGGTATCTATGCTTAAGACAAAATTCGTTAAATATTTTGATGAACAATGTTTAATGAGCTTCATGCTCCATACGAATCGAATATATTTCGTAATAAACAAACGGATTATTAAGTTACTTGATATTGCTATTTTTATAATTGAATGATTTAAGGTTGTTAGCAGGTCTAACTTTGTTTTACAGAAAAGTGTCACGAAACTTGGTGAACTGTTAAACAGTTACAATGACAAATTACCAGAGATAACAAGTCTTTTGGATATATTACAAGGTAAAAGATAAGGTTTTTTGATTACTTTTTTTGATTACTATCCTTTCATAAAAAATCATATGTCGATATAATATAATTTCATTAACGCACTCATTTTAGTGGAGGCGTATAACAATCGTAATCAATTACTTTTGAATGAACTTCAGCGAAACATTTCCTCAGACATAATTTTTTGCCAAGAAACAATATGCTTTACAAATGAGGAGACCAATCGTAAATCAAAATATGCTGCAACAAAATGAAAAGAATTGTCAATCATACACTAGATGATGAATTGAAAAATTTACCTCACAACATTCAATTGACAGCACAAAACAAGATAAAACCAAAACAACTTATATCGGTAGACATTTTGATAAATGAAACTATAAAATACATGTATATATAAGATGAAAACGAACGTGAACCTAATATAACTCGACATACGGACCTTAAATCAAATCAGAATTCGGACTTATTTGAAATACTACAAAAAAACTTTAAACCAGCTTTAGAAAACATCGATTTACTCCTCTTATATCAATACACACTCCGAAATTGCCTCATAAAACCGGTATAGATGGATACCGAAAATAAGCTATTTTCGCTAAAATAAGATCGCGGCTACGAAAATAAGATTTATTTTTTAAATACTGCATTTATCTGTTTAAATAATTACGTTAATGATATATTTATGCATTCTTTAAATGATTATACAGCAAAATAAAATTTTAGAACCCCCAAAAAAATCTTTAAAATTGCAGTTTGAGCCGAAAATACAAACGTACGAAAATAGTTCAAATTGCCGTGAAAAGCGAAATTAAGATCGGGTCAAAGAAAATAAAATTTATGTTTGATATAATGTATTAAAAACGTATTTTTGTTGTTAATAAATGACATGTATGAATGAAATAATAAAGAATGAAATGCTTTGTAATAAATTATATTAGACGTTTGTTCGGTAAATATGGCAGACTCGATCTTATTTTAGCTTTATACGGCAATTTGAGGTATTTTCGTACGATGGTTTTTTTTTGGCTCAAACTTCACTTTTTAAAATATATTACTATTTTTGGTACTAAAATTTTTTTCATACAAATCATTTATTAACAACAAAAATTATATTTAAATGCACTATTTCAAAAATAAATCTTATTTTCGTAGCTGCGACCTCATTTTTGAAAAATAGCTTATTTTCGGTATCCATCTATACCCTCATAAAACGTATTCCCCTGCAGGAGCAGCAACAGCAACAATTACATCAACAAAAACTTTTCATGGTGATAAAATATCAGATATCAAATGTTGATATTTTAACGACTGTTATAAAAAAATTTTTTTAAAAGCTAGCAAATTATTGTACTTTGTATCACGACATATGCACCAAACATCGAAGAAAATTATGCTGAAAGGAAGGTTAACAGTAAAATTATTCTGCAACTGACGTAGATTGAAACCCATTTAATATAATTGAAATATTTATTTCAAAGATTTATATGGTAGTTTTTATTTAGAGCATAAAACCAAAAATACCAGTGATAACGGAGACGTTACAGATTCACAGGAATTCAGAGTAACAATAGAGCGAATTGAAAACGTTTTGAAAGACTTCCAGGTAACGTGTCAGCTGTATTCGAGATAACTAAGTACAGATAATTATGATTTTGAGATGCATGTGTTTAGACTGTCATTGATATATTGATATGAAAAAGGCTCGTATTAATTGGTGGTAAATAAGTTTAAAGTCCGTTCCAAATAATAGATTAATCCGTTTGTTTGCAAAAAACCACTCTTTGAATAACTATTTTTAAGACATAATCGTATCTTTTATTTCATCGATATATATAAATAATGATTTTTATGAATACATGTCTTTATTACTTTTACCTATATCATTTATAAATTGATATTTATGCATAAACTTTAGATGTTCCCACAATGTGCAAAAGATCCAGTCAAAGATGTAAAGGACAGTCTAGAAGTTTTAGAGGAAAATATCAAAGTCGAAGGTGATTTGAACACGAATTCCGTCAGCAAACCACTTGCTATCAAAAGGAGGGGCAGTAAACATAAAACTAGTGTTCCAGGTATGCGATACTTGTCCATTACAAGAGAAATTTCAGGTTTGCTTATACAATATTAGTTGATATAAAAAGTGCGTATAAAAAGATTCAAGTTACAATGATATTTTTCCTGTCATGTGAAGAATCAATATTAACAGACTGTCACTTTTAAGTTTGATTTTATATCCCGAAAATAACTTATTGTAACTGTAGCTGATTTTTATCATTATTATAATCATCAGTAGTGGTGGTAGTGGTAGTAGTAATAGTAGTAGAATAGCTTTGCATGTTTTTCTTTTGAAGTTAGAAGTATAGACAGATTACTGAATTAAATTACGCACAAATAAAAATTATGTAAGAAAATATGATTATCGCTATAATTTCTTAGCAATTACGTATTATATAACGACACATGGATGACAATATTGACAGATAAAATAAAATGATAATTAAGAAAAAGTAATAAATAATTGAAGACTACATAGTCACTTAATGATGTAAAATTTTTAGTAAATACCTTTGTAAAGTTCGGATAAAATAATTTCGATATTTATAGATTAATATCAAGTTATCTTCATGTTCTACACGTAATGATATATTGTTTAAGAAAATAAATGTACTATGTCTTTTTATATATTTAGTATCAATACTAGTCCTGTTACAATACAGTTTCGGTAAATGAGTTAAGTACTGTCTTGTCATAAGTCATCCTTTTGATCAAAACAATTTCAAAAATAAAATTCAACAACTAATGACGCTGGTGTAAACTTAGCCTGTAATTGTCTAGTCTGAAATCAATTTACATACATGTATCGATTAGTGTCGTAAATCACAGTAATTAAAAGTGTTTTAAATCAAAGTTTTCTATTCGAGAAAGAAAAACAATTAAATTTAAATTGGTGTTTGTCTGCAGCAAACATTGCGAAGAATGTCCTGATATACATATCTGTTTTTTTTGCAAATATCTGCACAATTGTTCTTATAATGATAACCAGGCAATGTACAATATTTTATTTATGATTTGCGTTACATATGAATAAAAATATTTCAGCCACAATACAGATAATATGTAAACAAGATGGGAAGTTAATGAACGACATACAAGCGGCTCTAGAAACTACATTGAGGAGCAATTTAGGAACTGTGACCTTCATATCCTTGAACGACATTTCCAAAATCGACGACAAAAAGATGCTCATCATTCTATGCATTGTTGCGACAAGGATTGCATCAGATGCAGCATCTGCTATGCAAGATATCAAAAGTAAAACATTTTAATGCGATTTCTTAAGTCCCCACTTCATTTAGATACATTAAAAGTGATAAATACATTTGTAAAGTACATGCAGAAAGGACGTCTTATTTTCATAATTGTTTGCAGTATAAACAGAAAACTAAGGTACTATTCATGACGCATAAATAAGGACTTTGGGCGCCAAAAAAAAAAAAAAAAAAAAAAAAAAAAAACACGTTTCTTTCATAAGATTAAGATTTGTTATTTTCATCATACATTACAAAGACATTAATTTTTGTTTCTGCCTGATAATCAATCGATTTTCTTCATTACTTCCTGTATGAAATATACTTTTAAAGCATATACTAATTTAATGTTCTTTTTTTCATTCTTTTACTAATAAAGATATAACATTTTAATGCAGATCCAGCAAATGCTGCCCTCGTAATAATAGACATCGATGAGGCACATGAATTGTCAAATACACACAATTTGACAGGAGACGCTTTCAAGAATCTGCGTGGAATTTATGGATTGTCCTTTATGAAAAGTAACGGCAGCTTCCCCAACTGTGACATGAATGACAAAAGTATCAATGGACTAAGTTCGTTCTGCAAACAACAGCCATACAGTGAAAAACTTTAATAAAGAGAGAAATGGGAACTTTAAGAAGTTGTTAATAAAAAAGCATATGATTTGCATTGAAAACGTTTTCAATAACATGCATATTTTGTCCACGCATTGACTTTCGTTAACATTTTCTTAGACAACTTGATGGATGGAGTAGCATATATCATAAAATTAATTAATAATAAAGTTAATGAAGTAAAGGAAGATACTGACTTCACTGAACTACCTAGATACAACTTTATCCTTTAATTGTAGAAACTGTTCTGAATGTCAAACAAAGCATGTATTAAATGTCTGCGTGTATATGGTAAAATCATACGGACTAATGCAAAGTTTCCTTTGGTTTCATATAGGTAATATATTTGGTTTTCACATTCTATGTGTTATGAATTATATTTAGTGTTGAACGTAGATTTCATAAGGAATACAAAACTTCATCATAATACAATGTGCAAGTATTTGTTTGTATTTGACATCATGATTAAATCATTAGTCGTATTTATTCAGATAAATATTATTCATACCTGCTTAAGTCCTTTATTACAACAAAATCTTAGGGACAAAACCTTTTTACATGAAACTTATATTCAATATGCATAATTATAGCTGCATCAAAACATTTGAAAACTGCTTAAAAGGAACAATTACATATCAGCCAAATCATAATGAGGGAAAGACAATCCTTCTTGAATTTTAGTGTGTCTTTTGTATTTGATTTGTAACTTATTTTTATAAAGTATCTATACGTGTCTTTGCTCTTTTTTGTTGTTGATAAAATTACATGTTCAATGGCGACAAAGTAAGTTCCTTTCACTTTCTAATAACAAGTCCACGTATCATGTTAAACAAATGATATTGAAGGATATCAATGTAAGTATGCTTAATTCACAAACAACTTTAAATTTCGACTTAATTGAGTTAAACAAAATATACTTTTTGCGTAACAAGCAATGAAATTTGAATGTATTTAAATACTTTGAAACCATAAACGTATTAGCATGAACCTCAATGTATCTATATGCAGGTATGTTAGGCATGTTAGCTAAAAGGTAGACCACGTTTCACAATATCTTGTGTAATATTAATAGTTTATCGCAATTTTGCAGTATGGTTGAATTAGTTTCTGCGTAGGATTTAGGGTGCCAGGCAAAGGGAAATACAATAATGTCATACAAATTTGGTATCCGTGTGTCTTTTCCAAATCCTCGAGTGAGTAGTGCTTGTACTGAATGGATACATTCTGAGATATTCTTTTAGTACTTTATTAAATCAGTAGAAGATCCAATCACTCCTGTTATCGTCATTTAATATTTTACCATCTTATCACAGAGGAAAAATCTTTATTGAATCCAAACTAATCAACAAGTCTCGTTTTTATTTTCAACAAAAATACCATTTTAACCTATATTGTTCTCGATGAAGCCTCATTTCATTTCCGTTTCCAACAAACAGTAATTGTCCTCCTTCTAGCTTCCTCTAGACGAGTCCAAAATATCCATTTCAAATGCACAATTTCCAATTAACTTTTATTGGTATATAATGCAACAGAAGTGATGTAAGTATTGTCTTTAATTATACATTATCATGGTGATTTTTTTTGTGTGTTTTGAAAATAAAAAAAATTCTGTATTCATAGTTGAGTACCATTCTGCTTTTGAACTCGGGCACAGCAATTAAACTCCATAAGACTCGGCTAGCGCAACGTCAAAATAAAATGTTTAGAGCTGCGTGCACGTCCATCATAAGTCACTCAAAAACCTAACTATTTCAAACACTACTAAAGTTAAATGTTATAGTGCTTTGAAAGTACTTATATATTCTTTTTTATAACGAACAACAGTCAGTAGTTGTTCCTGCGAGACAGTCATTCAATACAGCAAAATAATGAACATTTTTGTAACAAGCTTATTAATCATACAACGGATCTTAACAGCTTATTTAAAACACATGTTTTAAATAGTTGAAATAATGTTCATTAATATCATAAGTTCAACATGCATGTGTATGTTTTATGTCTTGGTGAACTTAAGAATGTGTTTTTACATATGTGTCGTAGGTTTTCTTCAATATTTTCATATCCACCTAAATGGAGCCACTCAACATTTTTTTTTGTGGCGGCAAATCTACATTTTAAAATGTCTTAAATGAAAAATAGTTTCCAAGAAAACATTCTTATCTAAATAATTTAATATATTCTAAATAGCTTTATCGACCGCATCGAGAAAACATTTGATATAAATTTACTCATATTTGCATTGGTATTTTTAAAACACACCTGACAGCACTGCTAGTCATCGAAACGTTACATTACCTTTTAGTGCAAGACGGCTGTGACGTTTATATGTCCAATCTTTTGTTTTGTTATGATTAGGTAAGGATTTCAATCTTATTTGACACAACGACAAAGAGTCAATGAATCAATTACATGAAAATGAGTTGACTGAGATGTTTTTTTTACATAATACGCGTCGCAAAAACGCAGATTAGAAATTAAAACATCTTTTACATTCGTTGAAAGTTAGATTTTACCATAAAAACTTCGCGTTTGGCACCTTGCTTTACTTTAATAGGTAAATTTGGCACACGTTATTGTCACATACGTAAAATAAGTGAAAGCTGAGAATTGCTATGAAAGTACATTTACACATAAGATGACTTTTTTATTAGATTTTTTTCCGTAGGGTCACAAAGAGAAAATTTAAGAAATACCTTATTACAATTTTGCCATTTTTTTCTTTTTTGGATGACACATCGGATATAATTACAAAGTCAAGTCTTCATTTAACAAACCAGGTGACTCTTTAAAAGTAATAGATAAAAGCATTCTTAGATACATATCTGTTTATTTAGGTTAAACACATACATGTACAATCATAAAAAAAATCTGCATTATATAAAATAAATAGATTAAAGTATTTGAAAAAAAAAACTGTTATAAATTGAAATATAGTAAAATTTGACAAGGCAAAAATCAAAAGTTTTACAATTAAGTATCTGTTGAAACGATATCTTCTTTCAAATAAAAAAAAACATCAATTTTACCGCACACAACATATAGGATTTTAACAATTTAATTCCTATGAAATCATACAATCACAAATTGTAACATAAAACACTGTATATATAAAACCACATTTTTTCGTTAAACTGTTTTTAAAACTATTTGCAACTCCATTCCATATAGATAAAACTAATTAAAAATACAAAAGTCATCGCGTGTAAATTGCTCATTTATTCCAATTAACAGATATATAGAAATGTTTGTCACGATAACTAGTAGAAACTTATAATCAATATATAGTAATTGCTAATACTTTGTTATTTAGGTATAATTATATAGAAGTTCTATATAAGTTAAGTACATAAGGTATGTTCTGTGACAATCAAATCACCATATATGAAGCTGAATTAAGTATAAACACCCTGCTTATTGTTATTATCTATTCTTACAAAAACTTTAGCTATTATTATTTCGTCATTGCATTTTCTTTAGTAGAAAATTTGTGCACAAGAACCGCTTAATAAAGTACATTGAGTTTAAATGAAAATAAAATAATAGGGAAACATATAGAGGATATTCAAGTTTTTTCTATAAATACATGATTTATTTTCATCGAGTGGTATGAAAATAAATATTTCATGAGTGGCGGTAGCCACGAGTGAAATATGGTAATTTTCATGCCACAAGATGAAATAAATCATGTATTTATAGAAAAAACTTGAATTTTCTGTTTATTATGTACATTTTTCTCTTTTCTGCGATAAAATTTGAAAGACTTTCCCTTAAATTTTGTGTACTGGCAGAATTTAAAAGAAAGTAGTCCGGCAAGACACCAGTGAAAATACGGAAAATATGTTTCACTGCAGTGAAAAATAAATTTTTACAGTGAAAATACGAAAAATGAAAATATGCATTTTATTTCATCAATATTTCTCAATATTTCATTTATAAGTATATAATAAATGCATTTATTATCTGTTTTATACTACAGTTATACTAGGTGGCATAGAGCTGATATTTAACATGAAATAACTCAATGACATTCTTATACACCAATAAAGTTCTTGCCAAGTAGGATAACAAAGTATCAATTTGGATTATGGAATACTTGATAATTGGATTCTATTTGACAAAATACAAAAATTTGAATGTGTAACTTTCTTTTTCAAATTGTTAACAGTTTTTATTTTTTATTTTTCTTTTGAATTGTCAATTTTCCTGTTATACGTAGAAAAACTAAATATTTTGATTATATGTATATTTAAACGTACACACGCACCACACACAAACGCACGCACACACACGCGCGCACACACACAAACAACAACAACAATTGTGATCTCAGCAAAAAGTACATAGTTATATTGTTTATAATATTGTTAAATGTGACAAAATTGCAAATGATTGGTTTATTGTTGAACTGTTAAGCTGAATTAAAAATATAATTAGACAAATATTTTATTTAAAAACAAAAATACATCATGGATAAATAACAAAGCACATCTGCTTTACAAATCTAGTTATAAAAATACATAGGCTTGCTTTCACTGCGAGTGTGTTGTTGAAAAATACGATCTAAAAATAAGAATAAAGCGAATATCATACTTCATATAACATTTTAATATAATGTTGTTATAAAAAGTTTTAGCCTATCTTTGTCTTCCGCATCTTTAATGACATGAAATTAACATGCATTTTAAATAACTGGTCCACTGTTATATACTTTGGCTCAAATAAGAATGATTACATAAGTTTTTACTGTGTTGTATTTTGAAATATATAGTATTGCGAAATAACTATACTATACCTTGCGTCTGAAAGATAATCATCAATAACTTATACTCAACAAACAATTTAAAACTTGATAAGTAGCAAAGTTGATTTTTTGTTGAAAAAGTTGAAATGGTACAATTTCAAATCGTTTTTGCTTCTCATTTCTTGCTTTTATAGATATTCTTTTGCAATTTAAGAAAGTATAATTTAAAAGCTTTTAGCAATGCTTCCACATAATTTCACTTTGATTTTCTAGGTCATGTGTATCTTATAAAATATTGATAGATCAATATATTTTAAGTGATACTCAAACAGTAAGAATACAGATTAATGGTATAAGCATCTAAGCTAAATGTATGCACACTTTTTAAATAAAAAAGCACAATGAAACACACAAACAAAAACAACAACAATAAAAAAACACAGCATGCAAACGATATTGTCGTGTAATTGCTATTAAAATAAAATATCGTGCGTACCACGAGACTGTCAGGTAGTGCTACACTTAAATTAAATATTAACCCATAGTAAGAAAAACTTAAGTAGTAGACGGAAGTATTTAATAACTTAAATAAACATCAATCACCACAATCATATACGTAACCAGTAGGACGTTTACGTGAGTTTAAATGCCGCTCTATCATAGCGTTTGTCATGTCACAGTCAATGCAAAACAGGCTGACATTTGAATGACCATACGTTTGTAATATTGGTGAATAAGGAAAATAATGTGTCTCTGTCTAACTGAAAACAGAAAACGAGGGTTACATGCTTCCAGTGACCACGTGGTAAGACCTACTCGATAATACGTGGGAACCATCTCAAAATATTGCTGAATTAAACGATGCAAAATTAATAATTGAATTATTTTTATACTTGTCATAATAAAGCAAGAAACGTATGTGCTTAGCAAGTTAAGTATAATATATTGCATCATATATAACCATCACTTTTATTCTTTAACACCACTTGACGCATTTAGACTTGCATAAATTCATATATTTATTTAATAATGTGTGACTTTACTTCTATTGCATCAACATTCAAATCACAGTGTTTTATTTCCACCATGTTTAAAGAATATATTATCTAAAAACATAAGACCGTCGAGCTTATGTTTTGGGACCAATACTCCTTAAAATGACAGTTGTTTCAAATTACTAGTCAATGATCAACAAGGAAAAAAATAGGATTCTAGGTGATATCTTTTTTAACTTTCAAGAAAATTAATCTAACAGAAAAAAGTTTGCCAGGTTGTTTTCTGTTGTATACTTTTCTGTATCACATTTGATTTTGAAAACAAAATATCAATTTATTTTATACAAAAGCATCAAAGTATACAACTTCATGATACTGATTATATGCATGACATATAAAATATGTAAATTAGAGAAGAATCTTTAAAAAAGTCCAAAACGAAAAAAAAATTGTTACACTATCGTTTTAATTGAATCTGTAAATGGACTCTCAAGTGCAAACTACCGTTCACTACCCCTAGCACGGGCTTAAGCAGAATTCAACATTTAAACATGAAAACGTCTATAAAGGTAGCAAGTATTTTGAATATTATTAGATTCATGAACTGATTTCAAAAAACAATTTGGCGCAAACAAACATAAAGTAAATAATATTTCCAATTAAAAAAGGCATGATGCAATAAACTTGTTTCGAAACTCTATCCACAGATAACAATATGAATTTTTAAACTCAAAACTCGTACAATAGTGTTCCATTTTGGTCTACAAAAAAAATGTTATTAATTTTTCTCAGTCAAAGAGTGCAGGTAAATACATATGCTTATAACAATATTTTTGGCGTAATAAACGCATACATGTATTAGTTGCACTTAATTCTTTATTCGGTGCTCAAACATTCTTAATTGGACTCAAGTAAATATATTTTCAAACGTGTGTAGAAAGTGTCATTAAATGACAATAAACGTCCTATTATTTGCAAAGGTAATTGAAAATTATAAAAACTGTATCGAAGGCATTTTGCGTCATTTAATATATCTTTTCTAACGTAATACTGGAGATATTCCTATTGTTAAACAAACAGTTTGTATTCCTTTGTTTTATTCTTGTTGTGCAGCCCTTTCCATATGACTGTTTCCGAGTTCAAGAATTTCGAAGAAAGCAGCTGAAAAATAATGAACATTTATGTATATGCGTCGGGAAAACGAGTTCTATTTTTCGAGCGTTTTAATATACATTGAACATTATTATATTTTGTTGTAATAACTTGAATCGTTCCAGAATTTGCTTTAGAAATTGACAAATGATATATTATAGGCATAATTACTTTGAAACACTGAAATGCCCCTTTTCCTTGCTCTTTCTATAGTTCTACTCAAGCACAAAAGTATGCATTATTCTTTAAATATGTTATTAAATAAGTGAATAATACCCATAGGTCACCTATTTACCTTGCACTGGATGAGACTACATGGCGACACGGCTAAGATAGTCATCTACAATTATTAAATTTGTTAGAAAGGATGAAAAAAGACATGCATACCTAAAATGAGTCTATCAGTTTGTTTATCCACCACATTTTGTTCTTCGTAGTTCACTATAGGATATACTTGTTGTTGTCTGAACCCGAACTCACCCTTGAGTTTGTCCTTGCATTCGTTTATTTTACTGTCTAAAAAAATTCTCTGTCTACCAGTCTTCAGCGAATTGCTTACCTTGTCGCATTTTGTCAGGATCACTATATATGGACAACCTGTAATTGAATTTTATTTCTGTTATTAGTCATAGATTTATATAATTATATAAATAAATCGCGTATTCCCGAAGATGTTAAATAAAGTTTTCTTTTGCTTGTAGATGTGTGGCTTATGATAAAACACCAAGTATCGCACGTCAGAGTGATAAATGCTTAAGCAATATTACAATTCCGGTGATAGTCACACATTTGGGTTAACTTTACTACAGTCATCATGCCAACCTAAATATACTCGCATTGTCTATTTTGACTTACTTTTTAAAAACATTTAGAAATTAGGGAGCCTGGATTCATAAAAGGCGCAAATATGAGCGTGTAATCAGCGAATACACAGTTTACTTCATTTCAATAACAAGTTATAGTCAAGTATTCAATACTGACCGATATGTTAACATTTTTCTTACATATATCTCTCATACATGACTTTATATAAAAATCTGGAAACAAAGTGATCCCTTGGAAGCATAAATCGTAACAAAACTACATGAAAATTGCAGACTAGGTTAGATTGAGTTCTGTACATGAAGGATAATAAATAAGTGCTACACCCCTCACGCTCCGTACTACCGACTTAAGCGGTACTCAATTATTCTCAATACTTAAAAGTGCTGGCATCAATGATCCCGAAGTACCATAAATATAAAACAACACTGAAGTAAACTATTGGGCAACTTTTTACAGCTGCCACACGGTACTTGAGACCTGTTGTAGTGAAGTATAATAATATGGAATCAAAATAATCCCTCGGAAGCAGTAATTACAACAAATTACATTAAGTTGCAGACTAGGTTTGATAGAGTCCTGTACACGAGGGATAATGAATAAGTGCAGCAAAAATGCTTATAGATAGACCATATTTATACAAGTTTTATCACTGGTTATTTCCCTTTCAAATTGTTTTGAGTTTATTAGATTACAACGCTTTTAGGGTATATCTCGAAAAATGAATACTTTTCATGTATTTCTTTTTTACACTTTAGTCTTACACAAAGAATGCATTATTGTTTGTTTAATCCAATCAAATGACAATGGACCTTTGTCAATGAGATCCCGTCGCAGTTTCCTCATGGACGTTCTAATAGCTTCTGAAAGGCCCTTTAGTATTTTCTCACAGTCGAAAACAAAACATACGCAATGTATTTTGTCACCTGGTTGTGGGTCTCTCTGAAAGTCATCTTGTGAATCTTGAATTCCATTAATGATCTGAAACAAAAATTAATGCTGAATGTGTAGAGAAGTGCAAATCCAATAAAATTATCAGCGTGGTGTTACACAAAAGACTAGTATGGTTGAAGGTTGCAGCTTTACTTTATACCAAGAGATTAAAACCTTAAATAGGTAATGGTTAAAATAGTACAGCTGTTATTCAAAGGTTCAAAGAAAGAAATATCAAAGAAAGTATTTTCTTGAAAATAACTATCATCCCACACTCAATTTTATTTAGTCTATTAATGTGAAAAAGGACAAAATGAAACTTTTTTTACATATTAATTTTAAACGTAAGATTTTGGAATCAAAGAATCATTTGAACCAAATCTAAAACAAACAGAACATTAATATGCTGTTTTACAGTGTTTCATAGCTGTCGTGGATCATTGGTGACATTAAAATAATAATAAATAAAACAAAGGAGTACACAGTAAACAAAAGCAGTCTGTGAAAATGCAAATTGGGCTTTATTATTACTGAAAGTTAATGGCCAATTACGAGCTGATATATAACAGTGGTCAAAAATTGAATTTAATTTTTATAAATGAACGACAGATATGAGAAATCATAATTAATTTTATTCTTACAAATTATTTAGGTAACATAAACAACAACAACAACATAAAATCAGATTTGGTGATTTAGACAATGCTTTAACGTGGTTGAACATGCTATTATCTATCATCAAATTAGTTTACTTTGAAACCATCCGGCACATTTCCACTGATAATAAATTTGACATGATCTTCTTTGATGCCATCTTGTTCTTGAAAGCCAGGAGTATCTCCTAGATATATACCGCTCCTCCGTGTGGCGCCTGTATCTTTGTCAACATACTCAATGTTATAAAGCTTAAACTGTAATAAATGTGCATTATTTTAACAGATCATAGATCATGGTTATTTATTATTATGACACGACATCACAAGTTACGAAAGGTTATAATCGCCAAGCTATAAAAATTGATAATGTCTCCGAGGGAAATGACTAATTTAGGACCGTACATTATCTTCGGATCAGTCTTGACCTGAATTGATTTCTTCAATTCTTACATTGATATCGCTTTTTTAAATCGTACACTACAAGCCCCTCTATGTTTCTCAGATGTATGTCTATGTTGTTTCATACTGTTTTGGTGACACTTTTGCTTGTGTCCCTTGTTATTTTCTCGTCTACGGTAAGTATCTTCCCCCATTACCCCTAGTTTTTATTTCTTTGATTACCCCCCCCCCCTTCCTCCGGTCTCCTGTCCCCTTCTCCTGTGCCCTTTGACTTTGTGTTACAAATTATTTATCATTTAGTGATTGGCCTGTCCGAGCTCTGTCTTGTGCCCTGTCCTGTTTTTGTTTGGGGTCCGTCTGGGCTCGTTGCCACTGGCTCTTGTTGCTGGGTCGTGTGGGGGTTGCGTTCATTAAACGCCGCCTTTACTTGTTGATCTTGTTTATCATATTTTAAGTCTAAGCCTATCTTGAAGTACTACAGATTAATAAATGGCGAGAAGTATCTTTTATTTGGCCTTATAAAAGGGCAATTCAAATAATTATTATAATTATGCACATCAATCTATAACAAGTCATCAACCACATTTTTATGAAATGCAATTGTTTTTTGAAAAATATCTATAAAGATTTTAAAGTTTAAAAAAAAAACTAAAACACATAACTTCTTCAATCTAACCATACCTTCAAGAAGGAAAATGTATAAAGAACTTAGAATATCCTTTGCATTTCAATCAAAATTAATGTTGTAATTGTTTTGCTTAGCTCTCCCTAACAGTGTAGTTAAAAATCAAAGATTTCGTTTGTAAGTCTCAAAATAGCTTAAAGATGACGTCAAACTGGAATGTTGATATTTTGCGCATACATAAAATATGAGCATGAGGCCGCAACGGGCTGCACATTCATAAACATGGCAGGAATAATCTCATGAAATTATCGTTAATTACAAAACAAATTTGGTAAAAACAAAAATAAATTGATTTACTTTTCATTTTCTGATAATGTGTTTTTATTGTTAAAAATATATTGTTCGACTTAACGTTTGTCTTTAGATTTGTTCCTTTTATAAAAAACACATTTGTTTGTATACAATACAGTTTTTATTAATATTTACCAAATCAATGGTTCAAAACGAAGTTTAATTCAAGTATACCATCTAAAAAAAATTCGACATTTGAAATGCCCTGAAATAATACTAGTATTTCTAAAAGCCCAGCCAATTTATTATAACTGTATAATAACCAGCCATTTCTAGCCTTGCAGAGACCTGCTTGGCCTGTCATATATTTTTTCAATACCCAGCGCTCTTACAAGTTTTTTCATGTAGCGTTTAAAAAAAAGAAATATAATCCTGAAAAATCCAGAAATGCCCGATACATTCCTAAAGCATAAGACATTCTTTCTTTTCGTTTGAATTTATTGGCCGTCTATTAAAACTTTTCTCACAGTTTTGTTGCAGCCTCCTTATGTTTATATAATTAACATCATCATTCAGATAAGATTCGACACTTCAAATGTTTAGTAAATACATGTATATTTGTTTGGTCTTAGCCATGGATTTTTTTTTAATTCTTATTAATAACGGTCTCCGAATAATTATCTTTCAAAGTTTTTTCTCCTTCTGTTTGTGTGGTGTACTCGTATACTCAACTTATATTATTTTTCATGTTAATTCTGTGAAAGTTTTTTTTTTATTTTAGTGACCTTGGGGGTCACTAAATGCACATAAACTTATATTGTGAACATGACTTGAACATGCTTCCTCCGAGATTTCATTACCTTAGACACGAGTTTTTGGCGTAAGTGTTACTTTGTCGACTGTTATGTGTCACTAATGTTTTAAACACTAATTTTCTTTGCATCTTGCATTGTCTAGTAGACAGCAGATTTGTATCATTTGCTTACAATAACCATCATCAAATGGGACATGGACACTTAGTTAACATAAACTTATAGAGTATACACATTTCAAAATGAACTACAAAATCCATAAAATACTTTTTATTATTCATGTTGCATCACAACGAATTATTTTACAAATGTTGAATTAATCATATCCTTTAGGTCAAAATTGGCCCTGTCCTATGTCACTTACATTACACTCGTCATATTTAGCAAGGATATCTAAAATGTATGTTGTTCTTCTTTAAAGAATTTACAGTTATTGTCAACCGTGAAAATACATCCGGATTCGATTTCACACCTTGTATTAAATAAGACGTGATGTCACGTATGAGTATAGACGTTGCATGTATACAAACTTTTAAAGCAAACCTGATTCTTCCTGTTGATTCTTTCGGTACTATTGAGTGGTTTACTTAAACAAAAGTATCAAAGGCGTATCGCCTGATTGATAAGTAACATAACCATAAGTATCTTTCATCACAGCATGAATGTAATGATAAAGTTGTGCCATAAATCGCGTAAATCATGCCAAATTCCAAAAATGCACTTGTAATTAATAATTAAGCTATATTCACCTTGAAAGAAAACATCTCAACGCAATTAACTCGACCGATACTACACATCATAAAACCACATTTAATGAACTTACATTATGTATACAAAATAATATTATAATACCTTTTCTGTGGTAGAAACTGGGTTATCTGTCATTGCCCCCGCAGATCCAGTATTGGTATTTAAAACAATTTTACTACGAAGTGCAGATTGAACCGAATCGATAAAACTCGATTTACCACTTTCCACAGGACCAACCAACAAAATTCTTAGGTTCCTGCCTTCAAAGGGTAGCATTCTTTCACTCAACAAATTTCTCTTTTCAATGTCATCCCTCTTGAAAAGATAATTATTTTAAAAAAATTGTTCAAGGATGACCTAAACCATTTGATAACAATAGGATAATTATGTAAATCTAAAAAATTATATGGTTAAACATCAAACGGGTAATTAATGATATTAAGTTTTTCTGAACCTGATCATGAAGTATTAAATTTAAACAAATAGATAGAAAATAAGTGTTATCGTTTCTGAATTGCCAGTAAAGGGTACATGTATAAATATATGATATGAAAAATATCTTTAAGACACTGTGGATAATTAATTACTTTTACTTAAAAAAAGAGAGAAAAAATAAATTGTTTACTTCAAATTTCATATTCTTTAAAATTTTATTAATTCTATTCTGAGATGTAAATTATGTCAACACACACACACACGCACACACGCACGCACGCACGCACATACGCACGCGCACACGCACGCACCAACACACCCGCGCACGCACACATACACACAAACACGCACGCATGTACACGAGCGCTCACACACACAAAATCCGCGAAACAATGTGCGAGACACGAGAAACAAACTGCGCAGCTGCAGTAATGTCAAATAAACGACATAGTAATTCGATGCTGGAAACACTTAATCAAGAAAAAGGGCAGTTTGTAAATCCTTATAAAATGATAGTATTTCCTATTTATGTAATAGTTTTGCGAAATTTGGTGACAGGTAAGTCAAAATTATGTCCATCGAATAAAAAATCAAGCATTCTATAGCTTATTTAACCTTAAATAGTATTGATGTGCTTCTTAATCTTAACACATATTGTTCTTAAATTATGACTTGAAAAGGAAACTACAACGCTTACACTAAAGAGCGTATACGAATTTCAACATGCAAAGGAAAAATATAATAAGCTCGTGTTTGTGTTTCGTACAAATGATTAACTTTAAAAATAATTTAAAAAAATGCTAATTTAAACACAGCAAATATATAATATTTTCTTGTGCAAACAACTTCTACCGTTTTCGTTACTCTGTGCATTAGCCCTGTTGTTCACAAAAAAGTAATCATTTTTTAAGAATGAATTTGTTTGAAAACATCCATAATATATATAATGCGGAAATTTACTGTACAATTAAGACTGCTACTAAAAGCAATGTTGGTTGATTTTTTTTTTTGGTGTACGGATGACCCAAAAGCGGATTTTCTTATGCAGGAACTGTACTTTAGTTTGGCCAAAATGCGGTTGCAGAATTCAAGGCTTATGCAACTCCTTTTTGCTGTCTGTGTGGGCACCCAAAATTAGATCGGGAGTCGATATGAAACAATTTAATTAGCGGAATGGAACTATTTCTTTCTTTATCAAGTTTATAAAACGCAGCTTTAAGTCTAACTTGGAAATTGAATTCGCAAAATATTGCCTTCATCCACATAACTAGCAGCGTTTTGTTCAGTATTTTATAGCGTTTATACTAGGCCTATTGTTTTGAGTTCTATTTATATGCGTAGAAAATAATGAAAAGTAGAAAGGTGTACAAAGGACACGGATGTTCCCGGAATATAACATTTTTACCTCCGAATACCACTTTAATTGTGGTGATCTTCTAATATGTTGATAATATAACAAGAAATGAAATTTAAGAGCTAAAACGATAGTTGACGACAGGGGCTCGGTACGTTGATTGGTCACCACCCAAACCCCCTTCCTTATCCCAAACAATATTATATTAACTTCAGTGTATTTATGTAACCTGCATATATTAGGTATAGAAACAAGCTTTTAGATAATAAATTTGCAACGTTTGGTATCACGGGGGAGGAAGTGTTACACGAAGGCTGGAGTTCTTATGATAACTTGTTCAGGAGTTCTTGTGATAACTGTAACGGAGTTCGTCGGAAAACATCTGTATATACTACAAAAACACTCGTTAAAATGATTATTTTTATCTTTTCAAAATGAGTTTTAGGTGCTAAATTAAACTTTAATGATTAAGCTTGTCTTACATCTTGTATTATGTGTCAAAAACTAATTCACAGGCTATTTTTCATCGCCTCTTGCTTCAAATCTGGTAGTTTTGAGTAAAATTTCCAAATTATTTGCCAATTCAAAAGTATTGACCTGTTTATTTCTGGTCTTCATCCTTGCCATACATAATTACCTTATTATAATGCAAAATTGCAAACATAAAGCACCGGCTAACAGGTTTATACCCTATTTTTCAAATGTCCCGGAGTTCTTGTGATAACACTGAATATGTCACAGAGTTCTTATGATAACTTTTGTTATTGCCAGTGTGTTTCTTGCGCTAAATCACGGCACATTCTAGCGGTTTTTATTATTCAATGAGATTGTAAATCATTATGAAATGTAGTACGCTCATCCATTGCGCAAAAATAGGATATATAATGTTGGTTTTGAGTGTATTTTAGTTCAAAAGATTTTATTTCTTACCCCTGTTTTTTTTTTCATAGTATTTTTTGTTTGATGCAGATTTCGTAGACTGGAAAAAGGATTTATGTACTGGTTTCCTAGCAGTTTCCGGCCCCTAGCAGTTTTCTGGCCCTTTATCATTTTCATCCAGACATACAGTCTATTTTTTCTCAGATCTATATTACTGCATCAATCAGAGAAACATTTGTTTTCTATGTAATACAGCAGTTATAATAGTACAGCGATTAATATGTTTCAAAGTTTTGTCTGTTGTTTTAAGTTACATTAGAGAACTTGCGACACTTACAAGCAACACCTGGGGAATTCTGGTTTGAATGCCCATACACAATAACTGAAATCCCATTCTAGGTAAATCTGGAACCTGGAGGGACAGTTCAAATTGTTTTCGAGAGATCAGTAGTGAGAGCCAACCGCAGTTGAGTTTTTATCACGTACCGTACTTTTTTATGACATAGGTGTGGAAATTATCCTGGTTATATACTTATTTATTATGGTATAAAATGATACAAATTACTTAGCCCTTAGGTAAGGGAAGCATGCGTATATATTGTCTGCTTAAGAAAGGTGGTTGCTTAAAACTTGTGAAACTGAGAACAACGTGTACGTTTTGAGACATTTTTTGTTTTGTGACTGCTGAATACTAGTATCAGTGGCCGCTAGTTCAATTTTACTGTAGATGATAGCCTATCACCTATTTATCATTTGCAGACACTTCAAAGACCAACGTTTTGTCCACATTTTGTGCAAAGGATGATCGTACTGCATTTCATAATGATTTACAATCTTATTGAATGATAATAAACGCCAAAACGTGCCGTGATTTAGCGCAAGAAACACACTGGCAATAACAAAAGTTATCATAAGAACTCTGTGACATCTTCAGTGTTATCACAAGAACTCCGGGACATTTGAAAAATCGGGTATAAATCTGTTAGCCGGTGCTTTATGTTTGCAATTTTGCATTATAATTAGGTAATTATGTATGGCAAGGATGAAGACCAGAAATAAACAGGTCAATACTTGTGAATTGGCAAATAATTTGGAAATTTTACTCAAAACTACCAGATTTGAAGCAAGAGGCGATGAAAAATAGTCTGTGAATTAGTTTTTGACACAAAATGCAAGATGTAAGACAAGCTTAATCATTTAAGTTTAATTTAGCACCTAAAACTCATTTTGGAAAGATGAAAATAACCATTTTACCGATTGTTTTTGTAGTATATACAGATTTTTTCCGACGAACTCCGTGACAGTTATCACAAGAACTCCTGAACAAGTTATCATAAGAACTCCATCCTTCGTGTAACACTTCTTCCCCCGTGGGTATGGCATACAAGAATTGTTTGAGATTGCATTCCCTGTCATTCTAAACATTATGTTACTGCTGCAATTAATATGAAATCAATGTTATTTACCCAGTCAGGCAATACATCTTGACGAGATTTCCAGCCTTCAGGAACAACCTTCATGTCTGAAATATACATAAAATACATGAACTTTGTCGTCAAAAAGTTAAATATAATTTTATGCAGCTATTTTGGTATGTAATTCCCAATTCTGTATTAATGCAATACAGTGCGTTTTAATACTTGTCTTGTTTTCTAAGCATCCTTTTTGCACTTGCATGAGTTACAATTACTCTTTTAAGGCACACGAATTCTTTCAGTGCGGTGCCATACACATTATTTATAGAATGGCACGAACGTGTCACATTGAAGGCTTCACCTTATGAACTCATCTAGGGATTTTTTTTAATAATAAAAACGAAAATTTGCATGTTTAAATGATAAAGTCTTCTTAAATCGGAGCTTGTGGGCGTGTACGGTATTATGGAAATACCGCTACAGTCCATGAACTGAGGATGAAGCAGTTTCTATTTTGCCTTTCTGTTTTTCTAAATTTTACATTCTGCTAAAAAACAAATCAGTGATTGTAGGGAATCAAATTTATGTTCATTGAAATATGATAGAGACTTGTGAAACAGAAGACTACCATTGGATGCTATATCTCTTTTGTTATGAATTTAGTTTTTTAATTAATGCTACTCTAAATAGGCTACGCTATATCGCTTTATGTTGCCTTGCCCACATGGTGATGTTAAGCCCAAAGAACATGCCGAGGCGATAGACAAAGCAACACGTCGACTGAGATTATATAGGTCATTTTAGAGTTGCAGTAATAAAGAACTAGACACATGTTAATACAAAATATACCTTTTACATTTAAGTGGTGTTATGTGCATTTCTTTCGCACATGAAACTCTCATAAGAATTTCATTGCTAGTTTGAAGATATAATTGATATAAGTGTTAAGTATATATGTATAAATTGAAGAACCTGTATGATGTTTTAAATGACCCTCTATTGACTGATACATCCTATAGAGAGCTTTCAACGCTAGCTGATCTTTTATGACCACACAGGCGTCTTCATTAACATAATTCACCACGGGAAGCACTTGATTTTTATTAACTCCATGGAAGTTAGCAATATCGTTGACTGCTTTTTCTGCCTTTGGACTTTTGAAAAGATGATCAACATTTTCGAATATCTTGGGACAGAGCTTGTCAAATTTTGTTGCAACTACCAATATCGGCAATCCTTTAAGAGAAATAAACAATTAATACAAAAGGACTTACACTGTTTTGCAATTGAATATATGATATATAATATAGTTAATCCTTATAGGAAACGGAAAATTACATGTAGAAAGCAAAATAGCGTTTTCCTTAAAATCAGATTATTTCTTAGAATATCGCTAGGCATAATTTTCAAAGAGAGCACTATTCATATAACAATTTACCGATCTGAGGCGACATGACTGCTCAAAATCTAATTCCAAATTTGACCATATTTAAACGCAAAAATATAATTCACAACTCTGCACGATCATTTAAACTCCAAGGCATAAACTGTTCTCTTTTTGATCGTTTTGTCTATGCACGGTCCCGACACGAAATATATATTTATTTCACAATTATTGCATATCATTTAAACATACTGATTCGCAAAAATTAATATTCAAGACGCATGTATCACGACCACTACGCGAGTATTTAATGTGTACATTGAATGTTATTGATGATTGATCTCATGATTCCCACTCTCACTTTCGTTTGTCCGACAAATCATGCCAGCTATAACGATACACGACATCTTTACGTACATACGCACTTTCCAAACACAAATATTCATTTTTCAACTGCACCGTTTAGCTTACAATTAAACTGATTTCTACTAAAGCAGACCGGCCAAATCATAAATTATATAAGACTTTCATAGACAGAAAAGCACTCAAAATGTTCTACTTTAATAGTTAGTACCAATCTTGACCTTTTAACATCAATTTGACCATGACTGAATTGGTAGCGTTGAACTTTCGAAAGAGGAGTGAATGATGAATGATACTGTTAACATTCATTATCACACCTGGTCGTGTATGGACCGTGTTTAGACCGCTAAAGACTTGCTTAATGTTCATATTCCAATAGCGTATTTAAAGTCGCAAAAGAATCGTAAAACCTCGTATATGCACCGTGTTTGCGCGATAGTGATAGTACATTGTGCAGTAGAAGTTGCCAAGAAGTGTTGTAAACATCATCCGATCCGATCGCACAAAGAAGCAAAGTTCGCATTGGTTGTTGGGTTGAGAACTTGTTAACGGGTAATAAATTGTAATTTGTGAGTAGTATATTCCCATTTTAGTACACTCAAATAGAAGTCACATACAAGCCATGATAAAGCGGTTAGCTTTATTGGTCGGTAACAAGGTGATCGAGATTCTAATAAGAAATAAATTATTTGTAAATATTGATATAATTACAAAATTGTTAACATTAGTTAAGACATAGTACTCAAGCACAATAATTTATTTCATTCGTGTAACATATAACCTGTATTACAGATAACCTGGTTGATTCTGAGTAATCGTTCCTTTAAATCAGTGGAGAGCTTTTCATAGTCAGAATTTCCTTCCACAAAACAGATTAAATGTATTTTGTCATTAAATGTTGGATTTGGTCTTTCTTTTATATCATCTGGGTTGACCGTGTCTGGAAACTAAAATATATTAATTATATTACAAAGCTATAGGTTCAACACCTAAATTTACACCTGTAAGTAAAATGAATGGAAACTTAAAATCTACCAAAACGACTCGTTTACCTGTATTATATTGTTAAATACAAGTTACCTCTCCCCCATCCCTTCCCTCTGGTAGAGACTGATGCAAAACTCAAAATTTACTTATGAAATGGTGTAAAACTTCAATAGATGTGTTATTACGAATGTTATTTTAAAACTTTTAATATGGCAAGTTCATATCAATGACAAGCGGCATAGGGCCTCTAAGTAAAACAATTCATGGATGTTTATTACAACAAAGGGCGGGTATAAATAAGATTAAATTATTTTCTGCAAAATAATATGGATCACAGTAAGAAAATAGGAATAGAAAAAACGACCAGACAAATATGACATTGATACATATCGTGGTGAACAATGTCCTTGCCTTAGAAAAATTCTTAATGAACAAATAAATTAAAATTGCCTATGGTTAGTCTGATTTGAATTCGAACTTGTTTGAAAATTATAATTAGTAAATCAAATTTACATGCTATATCACACCGAATAGTAAATAGTCAGATAGATACAATGGAAACTTGACTGTCAAGTTAAAAAAAAGTTTCAGACTAGGTTTGAGCGAGCATGGTTATAAACGGTAGTTTAGCCAATTCCCTAAGAAAAATTAATTGTCTATCGACGGAATGTTTGCGATATGCATATTACATAAAATCTGTTCCTCTTCTATTTAGTTTTACACGTTATTTTCTCGTTGGGGAACGACACAAACCATTTTATTACGACGCTTTTCTTCGAATGGCAAAAGAAAACAAAACAAAGTATCGGGAAAATTTCTCCTGTCGTAAAACTGTTGCTTGCCCGTGATTCAATACAATATACGAATGAAATGGAGTGCTATACATATGAGTAAATTCGCAATTTGTTTTGCTATTTGTCATCATTTTTGTTGACTTTGTAAATTATGTACAAATATCTAGCGTTTACGTTTGAGAGCATAATTGAGAGCATAATTTAGACAAAATCATAAAGTACTTCGTTGTACAAAAATTACTTGATAAATTGTTTCAATATTGATTTAAGTAGTAATTGAAACATATAACAAATTTGTCGGATCACTTTACTTGATAGTTTTCAGGTATCCGTCCATCTATTAAAAGTTCAAGTTCTTTGTCATTCTCTCTTTTACTTTCAAATCCTCTAATGTCGAAAATGCGTAATTTCAATGTGTCATCATTTGCAGACCTGAGATCATATTTCTTTAGCTACTCAATAAAAATAAAATATCCAAGAATATATATAAAAAACATTCAACATTCAACAATACAGGCATATTAAAGCAAATAATACAATCATTTTAGATTTAATAAAACATATAATTGAATAGCATACTTTTTTCTAAGAGTAGGATAATTCAACCTCAAAGAATGAATTTGTTCAATTTTTGAATCATTTTTCATTAATAATTTGTTAATATTTAGACGAAAACTAATTTGAAAAACATATTGTGAAAGGGGAGTTCCTTCGACAGCAATGAAATCAAAAATAAGAAAGAGAATATTGAAAACCTTGTTATGTCTTTTTTATCTGACAATTTTTCTTTGTAGTAGCTGCTCAGCACTTAGTTATTTTATTCAATGATTAGAGATTTTTACAATAATGATTTTACGGCAGCCACAAAACATCCATATGTAAATTTACAATATACATTACCTTAGTTGTGACGCTCGATACAGATTGTCTGAACTGGGCAATTGGTTCGACCTTCCCTGTAAACACTGTCGATAATGTGTTAATGAACGAAGATTTGCCTGCTCCAACAGCGCCAAGCAGCAAGATGTTGTATTGACAGATATCTAAACCAGACAGTGGTACCATTTCTATGAGGTCTCTTTTTATGTTCTCAAAATCGTCGCCCTTCAAAAAGAATGTCGATATTTCTACTGCATGCCTTCAGATGAACCAAAACATTACATGAAAATTCACCTTGACAAAAATGTGCTAAGACCTTCCGAAAAGGTAAATATATTCACAATTCAAGAAATAATTTAAATGTTATCTGCAAACAATGACCGATTTTACCATCTCGATTTTACAGTATTTATCACCGTGTTTCTTCTGCGTTATTAACACAGCATTTCTACTGTATTGTTAACGCAATAAGGATCTTTGTTAATATTCTGAGCCATTATAAGTGATTTTTTAGATTTATGTTTTTAATGTTTGAATTACCTTTGTTCTTTACTTGACAATATTTTACTCTTTGATACATTTTTAAAAATGAACATTAAGCGTTTATATGTAAGCATCTCCAAAATAAGAACTGCACCTACATGATTTATTAGTTGAAATTAGGACCGGGAGCGAATAAGGAATTTGATGTTCGAATTTTTGTTTTCCATGTTCGAATGTATTGCAATATTCGTATTTACAAAATTATTTCTCTTTTACGTAATAAAAATTGAAATGGTCGAATAGTATACTACTTTAATATGCTTGGAATAAGACGATTAAGAAAGACTTTTATTACTATGTCGATTTACAATCAATAAAACAAAAAAGTTTGACATAGTAATAAAGGTCTTTCTTAATCGTTTTATTCCAAGCATATTAAAGTAGTATACTATTCGACCTTGTCAATATATATATCTGTTTATATTCACACTTTTGAAAAACATTTGATTGTCTTTTGTTCAGTTCATCCGGCTGCTGATCATTTGTGTTAATAATATTGAAACTTAACTTGACTGTATTAAATATTTTTTATTTATTAATAATTCTAAATAAGGTATGACACATTCTTAAGAAAATTTAAGCTATAACGCAGTAAATACCACATAAAGTCTGTATTACTACGGAATAAATATCTTCAGACGGGATAAAGACATTTCCTAGACTTTCATAACGCGCCGATAAATACGTGCAGATTTATAATTGTTATTCACATAAAGTAAGACAATTATCGATTGATCGGAAATATATAAGCACAAAAAACAATAAACGTATATTTATATATATATATATAATTATATTGATCGGAAATATTAAAGCACACACACACACACACACGCACCAACGCACGCACGCACGCACGCACACACACACACACACACCAACACACACACAGATAATATATATATATATATATATATATATATATATATATATATATATATAATATATATAATTATATATATATATATATATATATATATATATATATATATATATATATATATATATATATATATATAAGAAAAATAAGTAAAATCAAGTCAGAAACTGGTCAAGTGAAGGTCAAGGGTTTAATTCACGATCTTAATTTAAAAGAACATGAAAAAGTGTTTCAAATATTCGAATATTATTCCCGGCCCTAGTTGATTGTATCAACTTAAAAGTCAGTTAGTTTAAAATGGAAGGTCTGTTAAATAATTACGTTGATAGTATTTAATATCATTAAATCATACAAGAATTATATAAGGTCGATGTCAAGTGTTACTTGATCTGATAAGACATTTTAATATGGAGCAGATAATTAATTATTCTAGAACAAAACATCATTATTTATCATATAAATTCTCATACTAAATTACTTATAACTATCAACATTTTTTATTCAAAAGAATTTTATAAGAATGTAAAATGATACAATTATGTTGTTTTTATCAACATTTGAAATACTTATGGACAATGTGCTCCTTGTAGACCAGTTAAATGTATGATATATTTTTTCTATCTATTTATAAACGATGCATTCAAAATTTTGTTCCAAAATATCACTTCACAACCTTACCTCAAGTCTGTCCAGCCAGTCTTCTTCGTATTCATCATCTAAACCATACATATGAATGAAAAAATTGAGAACTTTGTTTATGTAAAACACATACTGTATTAAACAAGATATAATGATGGCTTTAATAACCCTCTTCTAATTTTAATGGCTCTTAATGACAATTAATATTGTTAAGTCTTAATCTTAAACTGATATCACAAAGTTTCTGTAGTATCTATATGTAGAATGTCGCTGCTTGCTATGAAAATACTAGTTACTATTTAATTCAACTGTTTGATATCGAAAGGCAATGGTAACAATAGGAAGTCAAATAATTGCTATGAAATACATTTATTTCTATAAAATGTCAATAGTTGCGAAGACACTGGTTTTAATGAAAAGTAAAAGATTGCTATGGAACATTTGTCGCTATTGAAAGTCAATGGTTGCTTTGGAAGTCACTCATTGCTCCGTAAAGTCACTGATTTCTATGGATTCAAGTGTTTATTAAGGAAAGTCAATGCTTGTAAAAAAATGGAAAGTCGATTCATGCTCTGGAAGTCATTTGCTGCTATGAAAAGTCAATCGTTGCTAAGTATGTCACTGACTGCACTGTTGGTATACATATAAGGATAACCCATGACCCCAACCCTCCCCACTTCTGACGATAATGACCTCAAACGATTTAAACATTTTAATTATTATTCTAAGGTCAACAATTCGATGTTTTATGCCAAATATCTAGTATAACTATTTACATATAAGAAAAATCCAAGACAATCTAGGACGGGTCTCATTTAAACCAAGGGCTAAGATTTCAACAAATTTGATATACTAGATATTCTAGATAATGTCTCATGCCTATTATCTAAGCCTTAGCTTTCATTGTTTTTCGTTTTACTATATACATAAAAGAACAATATATTATCCCCAAATGGGGCCAATTTAGACCTCCACCTATAATTTGAACACACTTGGTAGAGGTAAACAAGAAAATGTTGCATGGAAAATGCATTAAGCCTTCATGGTTTTAGATGCGAGGAATTATGGAATTTTACTATTAATATGTACATATTAAAAAGTATATGACCTTCCTTCGGGGCAGGGTCAATTTTAACAATTGTCGTAGAGGTCAAATCACGATGTATAACGCTAAATATCCCAAGCCCTATAAATTTTCAATTAATTTTCCATTAGAACATTTTTTAAAGTATTTACTTTTGAAGGAAAAGACTTGACCCCATTGTGAACAAATGTCATACAGTTTCTGTCACAAAGTGAAAGTACGTTTGTAAAATTTTGCATTATATTTT